TTTTATCATACCATCTCAATAGTCTGAACAATTCCGAAACACATGATAACTAATCATCCAAGAATTGCGTTTGAGTAATGAATTGGGGTACGATACGAAACTTGGGATAAGAGGTATGGAGAGATGATAGTTTGAAGCTTGTGATATTTGAGAAAAGAAAAAGTTACTGACCTTGTAGTAAGAAACCATCTACCTCGGTCGTAAGTTGTTCAGCGAGTTTCTCCCGCAACTCAGCTGTTTGTTCGGTGGGTCGATGTAGAGGTCCATTGAGAGGCTCGCGAGGTTCACGTTGGATTATCGGACCGATCAATTCTTCTAGGTGAGTTGTGAAATCGTCTTCGGTGTCAATCCCGGAATTTCGTACGAGATCATCGACTTGGAGGGCAAGTTGGGTCAATTCGGTTCTGTCCGTCAGACTACTTGTCATTGTATCATCATTCAAACATCTCATAGACCATCTCACATACCATCTCATAGGACATCTCATAGACCATCTTCCAAATAGGAAATCACCTTTCAACCATGTTACAATACATAACCTCTTCAAGGCCAGCGTTCACAGTACATGGAAGGTCGTATAAGGATTCACCTCTCTGACTTGGAGTAAGATGGGGAGAAGGGGTACCGGCGGTTGAAAAGATTACAGATGATTTGATAAAACTCACAAACCCTCCCAATCCACCTTTTCGGGGAAACTATCAACACGGATCAATACCTCATTTTCGAACTCTTTCAACTTTTCCTTCCACTCATCCGCGGAATCTCCTTGCATATCAAGTATCGTTTCCCTCGTCTTACGAATGGCTTCTGAGAAACCTGACCAGTTGTATCCTTTACGACTATGATCGAATTCCTCATTGTTCAAAGAGTTCGTGGCTTGGTCTAAAGCATGAAGCAAGGGATGATGGTGAAGATCTTTTGGAATGACTGGATATAAAATGGAGTAAGATAAGTCGGTTAGTGATTCAATCAGGTCAGTGATGATAGATTTGAACGTCTGAGCGTCGACGAGACGATCATTGTCGATTTCCATTTCTGTCATTTCTCTGTGGTTTGAAATGGCGAGGTGAATTTGAATATCAGAGAAAGTAGTAACAGTAGATGAGTATCTCAAGTCAGAGGAATTAATAAGAGCAATATGTCAAATTGAAAGATCTGGTGATGGGGATGTAAGAGGGGAGAGGAAGTGTGAAGGGGTGGGGGGGGGGTGGGGGGGGATAAGTATATTGTCGAGTTGTCGATCGTCGCATCGCTGAGCTTGGAAAGATATGAAAGGTGTTGGGACAGCTGAAGGGCGGTGTGTTGGGAGGGAAGCGAGACAAGGGGTGATTGAAGCAAAGGAGCAACTCATAGCTGTTGAAGCGACTCTTGTTGAAAGAGGTTTTAGATAACCTGCCTCTTCGAAGCTGTGAATGTTTTACAGTTTGTGAGTACTGTGATAAGCAGAGGTATACCACCAGTGGTTTCAGTTGAATCAGTGAGTAGTAGTAGTAAGGTTAATGGCCATGGCCGGAAGGACCGGAACTGATAGGGAATTGCCGTTTTGAGCGGTGACAAGTAACACCATCCCCTCCCTTACCCACCTATCAAAACACCCATTGTCTTTCTTCTTATTCCTTATCGTCGTCGTAAACCCCCTTCTCTACCTTCTCACTTCCCCCACTTCCCCAAATCATCCTGTGATCTTCATCGTTCGCATCACATTCATCATCCCTCTTTCGACCATCGGACTGCGGACCGAGCCCACCGAACCACCACCGCATTTTGCCTCCCTCCCCACCAGCTCCACTCATACGCTCCACGTGTATCTTCTTTGCTTCTTCATCCTTACATCTTTGATCCTAAACCCACGTTCTTTCTCTCCGATCCCTCCTCTCCCACCCACGCTCCAACGTAGATCACCATGCTCAAAGGCGTAAAGGTCAGTTCTCTCTCTCTCTTTGTCTTTATAACATGCCGCTGACAAAGCAGCAATTTTGGCCTTCCTCACAACCACCTACATCCCAATCCAATCAGAATGGACAACTTCCTGAACCATCACCTTCACCCACCATGTCACCTTCTGCATCCTTTTCAGGTCTCGGAGCTGATCAAGCTACTCCCCGCGCTTCCGCCGTTGCCAATCCATTCGATTCCGTCCCCACTCCAGGTCTCAGTCGACAAACCGCCAATCTATCCTTGGACCCTACACGTCGTGCTTCTCCAGTCATCGGACAACCTAACCCATCGGGACTGCGCACACCCACCCATGGTTTATTACCTTTACCACTTGGTACCCCCGGAGCTGGACAACCGACCACAGGTGTTACCGTTGGTGGAACTGTGGGAACTAGCAGGGACATCGGTTTCGGTCTACACGAACCTCCAAAGATGCGTAAAGCTTTGAGCAAATTGGGAGAGTCTAGAACTCCTGAACCTGTGGATAACAAAGATAGCGATTCTCCACCTAGGGCGTTGTTAAACGTCAAATTGATTTCGGCTAAAGGTTTGGCAGTTTCGAACGCTCCGAGTGCTCACCCTCAACCATATGTGGTCATGCAATATGAACAAAACGAGTATATATCAAGACCTCCTCGACCCGTCACTTCTCATCAAGGCGTTCCATTCACTTCGGCAGCACCTCAACCCATTGTACCTGGTAATCTCACCCGGAGTTCTTCCGGATTAGGAGTGGGGACTATCACCAGGGCCTTTGCTGATGCGGTGGGGAGGGGAAAGGGTAAGAGAGAGATGGATGGGAGTGGGACGCAGACGCCAAGAGCGGAAGAACCACCTGCTGGGTCTTGGTTAGGTAAACCCGGTCCAGGCGATCCAGTGTGGAAGGAAGAAGTCAATTTGTTAGTCTCTTCTTTGATTCATAGGGTGAACTGACAAGTAGCGATGTGACATCTAGCAGTGCATACCTTCACGTATCAGTGTACGATCGTAATCGTGCTGGTGAAGGGTTCCTAGGGATGCTGGATATCAAACCGGTTTGGAAGGATGGGTATACTTTGGACGGATGGTACAAATTGGGAACTAGAGGTACTGAGAATGTTACGGGAGAGATTTGGATTCAGTGCACTTTCCATGCTGTTCGAGTGAGTCTATGAGATTTTACATGACATTCGCTGACTTGTAGCCCAAAGGTCATCTGAAACCGTCCGACTTCGAATTCTTGAAGCTGATTGGTCGGGGGACCTTCGGTAGGGTCTTTCAAGTACGTAAGAAAGATACTCGTCGGATATACGCAATGAAGGTTTTGTCCAAGAAAGAGATCGTCGCGAAGAAAGAGGTTGCTCATACTATTGGCGAACGTAAGATCCTTCAACGGTCATTGGAATGTCCTTTCCTCGTTGGATTGAAGTTTTCTTTCCAAACTGAATTGGATCTGTTCTTCGTGACGGATTACAAATGCGGCGGAGAGCTTTTCTGGCATTTGCAAAGAGAGGGGAGGTTTTCAGAGGAACGTGCAAGGTTTTACATTGCGGAGTTGGTCCTGGCTTTGGAACATTTACATAATTATAACATTGTTTATCGGTAAGTCTTTAAAAGCTACCAACTGGAACCATACTCATGAACAGCGACTTGAAACCTGAAAACATTTTATTGGACGCTACCGGCCATGTGGCATTGTGCGACTTTGGTCTTTCCAAGCCTGACTTGACAGAGGATCAACTAACCAATACTTTTTGTGGCACAACCGAGTGAGTTTTCCTCGTCTTTCACCGACCATCTGACTAATTATCAGATACCTCGCTCCTGAAGTTTTGCTGGATGAAAAAGGTTATGGCAAAGCGGTCGATTTTTGGTCACTAGGAGTACTTCTTTTTGAGATGTGTTGCGGTTGGAGTCCATTTTACGCCGAACAGACTCAAGAGATGTATCGATTGATATGTGAGTGTCCATATATATCCCATTTCCCTCTTGGACGACCTTGTTGATATTCAGGTTATGGTAAAATAAGATTCCCAAAACATGTCATAGGTGATGATGGAAAACAATTCGTCAAAGGTGTAAGTCTCTCCACTCCTTCTTTCATCCTCATCTTCAATCTCAATTTCAAATTTTATGTCGATTTCCACTCACCGTCCCAGTTGCTCAATCGTAATCCTCAAAACCGACTCGGAGCCAAACGTGGAGCAGCAGAATTAAAAGATCATCCTTTCTTCTCATCAATCAATTGGGATCTACTCTATCGTCGTCAAATCACACCACCTTTCAAACCTATAGTAGATTCAGACGAATCAGTAGCAAATTTCGATCCTGAATTTACCAATTCTTCTTTAACAGATGCGGGTATACAACCTTGGGAAGATGATGATTATGGTGTTATGCCAGGTTCAGTAGGTAGAAGACATTCTTATTTAGGTCCAGGTGGTAGTTTGAGTGGTGGACAATTGAAAACACAATCTGGTATGGCTATAAATAAGACTCAAAGACCGGATTTAGTCGGTCAAGGTAGTCCATTAACAAGTTCTGTACAAGAGAATTTCAGAGGTTTTACTTATACTGGCGAAAGTGTCATGGTGAGTTGAGTACGAGTACACCTTTGACTTCTTCCTTCCTTCCTTCCATCCATTCTTCCTTCCTTCCTTCCCTCCTTCCCTCCTTCCTTCCTTCCTTCCATCCTTACTTCCTTCCTTCCTTCCTTCTTTTTTCGGTTTCTGTCTTTTTTCGGTTTCTTCGGTTTTTCTTCATTCCTTACTATCCTCTTCGTGATGTGTTGGTTTGATGGAAGTTGAGAAAAGAGTTGATATAAACATAGCCTCAAAGTATGTTGGCAGCCAATGATCCTATGGAAATTTCCGATCATGAAGAAGCCGTAGATGATGATGATGATGAAGAGGAGGAGGGGGAAGAAGAAGATTTTGATGATGATGGGGAAGATGAAGATGAAGAAATGGAAGATGGTTTACAAACTCGGAGACCTAGTGATGCTCATATGGGGTGAGAAGATGAGTGGAGCGGGGGGTGTAAGGGGAAGGGGTGATATAATATAATCTGTAGGAGTGGAGGAATGGGAGAAGGAGAATGAAGCGAGGAAAAAGGTTTGTAATGTTGAAATTTGCATTGTATCAACCATGCAAGTGATAAGGTATTATTACAATTCATCCTATTCATTCTATCCCTCCAGTCTCTTTTTCAACCTATTTCAGGAATCATAATATGATTATAAATTCAAATGATCCTCTGAAACCTATACCTATACTAGCACTGTTAATTGTCAGTTGCTTATCAAAACAAATCACAAGGAAAGATGTTGAAAAGACAAAAAACAATGCTGATATGATTGAAGTTGATATCTTACAGATAATCTACATATTTTTACATTTACAAATATCTACCAAATGTATTAAGTGAAATAAATGAATTAAACCATCAATCATGATAAATGATGAAAATCCATTAAACTCCATAAAGCGACTCTATGATCTTTACCACCACTAACAAACCAACGATATCTAAGTCCGACTTGGTCTAATTCATCATCACTTTCTTCTTCCATATTCATATCTATAGTTTTATCATCCAACTCTTTTTCTTTTAATCCAACATCTATTCCTCCCGTTAAATTGATACCTTTGTCCAAACCTTTAACCTCGATGTTGTTGATAGACTTTTCAGTTCCAACTTGGTTACTTTCTGTATCAGGGAGAAGGACCGTCGATACATTATCAAGTAACAAATGAGGAGAAGGTAGGGGTGGAGAAGGTGGATTAGCAAAAGCTAATACATTCACAGTACCTCTATGATAATTCAATATACCTAATGGTTTGAAAGTAGATGTTGAATATAACCTTATCTTACCGTCCCATCCTCCTACGGCTATCACTGAACCTTGGGGTGAGATGGAGAGTGATGAATTACCGATTTGACCCGTTGAGTGTTTTTTTATGAGGGGTGTTTTTGGGTTTTCGTTGATAGGACTTAGGGGTGTGCGTGAGTTTTCATTGAGAGGGGTTCGGGGTATGGATGGGGTTTCGTTATTGGGAATTGGAGGTTTGTCTGGGCTTTCGTTGATTAGATTAAAAGGGGTGTTGATAGGTTTATTTATTTGGTTCGGAATTGTATTTTTGACTTGCTTCATGAGCTTGGGACGTGGGTCCGTGTCTTCGTCGAGAGGAGTCGCTTGGGCGAGATGAGGAGGGATTAGAAGATGGTATTTTACCAATAAATGATCCGCAGAAACTGTGAATGCTTTTTCAAAGTTTTGATCGACTACCATGGCCATGACTGATATCAGTCTTAATTTCACGTTGTTACCCCGTAGGTTCGACATCGAGATCTTTCTTGTACAACACTGGATACTAGACACCAGATATTCTGAGGTCGACACCATGTAGTTTCTTCTGAGAGAAGAAATTACTCTGAGCCAAAAATTGAGAGTAGTTCGTGAAAGAGGTGAAGAATAAGTAGAAGAGGTGAAGAATAAGTAAAAGAGGTAAATAATAAGGTGACAACTCAAGAAGTCTCAGCGTAGAGCGAGAACAATTGAGAAAGAGAAAGGTAATAAAAAGAACTTTCAGATTTTGAACAAATGAAAATGATAACGAATGTCAAACGACAAAACTTACCAGATTCATTATGACCTTTTTCACAATAAACCATTTTCCATCTCCCTTCTGATAACTTACCATCCCATCGTTCTTTAGGATCAGGATTAGAACAATACCAAACTTCGATTCTCCCATCTTCATATCCCAACGCTAAAGCTAAATTCCCATTATGGATTGAAGTAGAAGTGAAAAGATGTAAATGAAGAGACATTATAAGACCTGTTCGATTTCGATTTTCGTCGGAAGAAGAAATTGGATGATAATTTATAGCTCCATATATTCTATGTAAAGATGGAAGATGATATATATCAGCCTGAAATCAACATCAAAATCGTCTACACCACACACTTAGAACATACTTTTTAGCTTTCGAATAAAAACCATTTGGGATTTGGAAAGTTGGGAATATAGGGATTTGGGAATCTCTGAATATTGAAGAAATCTAACATACTAATTCTGAATTTGTGATATTAGGTACAACCATCCAACCTTGTTTACCATGATCTATATCGACCAAAGATAATTTACAAAAATTCAATGAGTTTGTTGATAATTCTTTCCATATTTTCGGTATTAAACCACCTTCAGTACCTGCCGTAAGGGAAGAAGAAGAATTTATTAATTGTATTGGTTCGTATATATATATCAAATTATCTCTTCCATGACTGTTCTTTTGATTAATCCTAATAAGACAATTGAAAGATGTAAAAGTAATCACCTTATTAAACGTCCGGACCATTCGGTAAGTGTTAGGATACTATCTGAATGAGCACGCCAATAAGCTACTACTCTACGTGTTCGGAGATCGAGGATGGATATACGACCGGATTGATCACCTGTGTAAAGGAGGGTGTTGGAGGGGTTGAAATGGACGGATGAGATGGGAGATGTATGTGCTCGGAGCAGATGGAATGGGGGTGGTGGTGGGGTGGGCATGTTGGGAGGTGAACACTGTCCTCTACTGTACAGTGAGGGAAGAGGGAAGGAAGGTAGAGAGAGACATTGGATGGGAGGGAGATGGAAAGGTGTGGCAATGTGGTGTGGTGTGGCAGTTGTTCCTATGACACCTTTGGCCTTTGAGACCTATCAGGTGTAGCCATGTAGCTATCAGAGATACCTTACGCTTCATGAACCAAAATCCAAGAGCGACTGACAAACGATGGGCTGGATATCGCGACTGCTGACCGAACTTAGGATACCTTTCAAGTCAGGCATGCTCAGTAAAGTGGGGACGGGCTCGAAAGCAACACAGCTGCTAGTCGGCAAGAAGCCCAGGTGCCAAGTGGAAGCCAACGTATTTGATCTCATTGGTCAACTCATAGAGTTATATTCATACCTGGACCAACCCTCACTCTTCACCTTCTCGTACTGACCATTCCTCCAAGTAATTTCGAATGATCATAAGGATACACTTCCTCTTCCACTCTTCTCACTATATCCCTCACGTCATCCTGAGAGTCCAACTTGTTCACCTCCCCCACCACCATCTCTAACAACTCTTCCAATCCCGCAAATATCTCCTCCCAATCTCTCTCCGGATCTGACATCACCACAGCCGTATCTAATCCATCATCCCCTTCCTTCGACATTCTTCCTTGCGGCCGAGAAAGAGGTAAATGTACTTCCTCCGGATCCTGCTTCCCAACTCGCAAACTCTTCCGCTTCAATATCCCATTCAAAACATTTCCCATAACTTCCCATTCTTCCCTCGTCACTTTATCCCCAACGTCCCGCAAAGGATGGCCTAACAGACCCCTCAAGAGACCTCGCCTGTGAATCACTATTAGATGCCGACAGATCAGATCTATAGCCCGAGGCCAGCCGATCTTATACCGTCTAGCAAGTCGGAGGGCTATGATAGCTAAAGGGAGATCTGAATGTCTGAGAGAGGTGGAAAGTAGGGAGTCGAGTAGATGTGCGTTGAGAAAAATACGAGGTGTTTGGGATAGTAATTGATAGAGAAGAGATCTGAGTGGGGGAGATGGATGATGTTTCAAAACCGCTAGATAGATCGTCCATGAATATACGTCTGACCGGGGGGTCTCTCCCGATGTATTCCTTTTTGACGACGACAGGAAGGTGTCGGTGATTTGGCGGTAAGTAGAGGGATTTTGAGAAGTACTGACGATGACTGGAGAAGTTGTGAAATGGGAAGAAGACTGAGGAAGAGGTGAAGAGAGGAGCGCCCATACTCGCTCAACTGCAATATAGGTTTTACCCACCGCTTCGGCTTGTAACCAAGCGTTGAGGAAAACAACAGGTAAATAGTCTTCCCCTCCTAATAACTTTTCCAAATCCCTAGCTAGAAGAGATGGTATATCTTTTCCCGTCTCCTCTCTTTTCTTCCCTCTTCCCGCCTGCTGTTTTATGGAATTTCGTATCTTTTCAGTCCACAGAGTCAACACACGGACACACGGTCTTGCAGCTTCTTCTCTCATACCCTCCTTCACCTCCCAATCGATGAATTGTCGCTTCAACACTTTTCTATATCTTTTCAACACTCCTAAAGCCCCACGTAAATCTCCAGAGATAGTATGAGCAGAAACCAAGATATCCCACATTGACCAATCCCATTCTCCCTCTGTTTTGTTTTCGGCGGAATAACAAGCCGCGATGATCTTTTCGATATCCTCAGGTGTGCCTCTAGCTTCTCTTACAATAGTCCGACAAATCATTACTAGTAATTGAACATCCAACCCTGGAGGTAAAAGATGAAGTGTCTTCTGAACCAGAGGAAGTATCGGTTCTCCAGCTTGACCAGCTAAATAAAATAATGTGGTGAGAGAACGGGGAAGGACAGGAACACCTTCTTTCAATTGTCGATTGAGTAGATCGTTGATGGATGGTAAAGCTGGAGATAATGGAGCTCGGGAGAAAGCGTAAATGAGTCGGTCGTATAACCTACTTCGGGCGTGAATCCGAGTTGGGGAGGAGAAATGAACATCTTGTTGAGAATCAAGTATTCGATGGGATTGAGCGAGGATTGAAGAGATCTCATTTGGTTGGGTCAGGATACGATGGAAGATGTCACGTAGTTCACCGTGGTTAGGAGAGAAAGGTCGAAGAGGGGTTTTGTATCCTCTCGGAGGAAAGGGTTGTGGGAGGGGGGAGGAAGATGGTAAACGGGAAGATATGAGTTCGATGAGTGTCGAAGGGCGTGTGAGGGGTTTTGCTGATGTCATATTGTTATTAAGATTATGAATGTTCTTGTTGAGTGACCATTCAAGATATCATCTGATGTTTGTTGAGCAGATGAGAGTAAGATGATGAGGGATGAAAGAGAAAAAAGAAATTTCGCCAAGAACTTTGGGATAATTTCGATCACTCGCTCGTCATCGAATCGTTTATAACGCTTAACTGTCCAAGTCACCTTCCTCTCTTTACACCTCCACCATCATGTCATCTTATTCTCCCAAGACAACGTTAACATCTCCTACATCTCCTCAATTTCCTTCCAGACCACTCCCAAAACGAGGAATATCAACTCCACCTCGTCGTTATTCACCCCTCCCAACATCTTCGGCCGAAGAATGTCTATCCCCAACCAACGCTTTCTTCTCCCCAGGAGCAAGCGCATTAGACCTTCATGCTAGGAACAATATCCATAGAAAACGTGCTAAGAAAGGGATGACATTTGCAGAGGTACATCAAACGGGGATTATCTCTAGTGAAGAGAAGAGTCGTTTATTCGATAAGATTGATCTTGATGAGAAAAGTATAAAACGGTTACCAAAGAAAGTTAGTCCTGAAATCAATTTTCTTATAGCCTCAGAAGCAAGCGAGGAAAGTTGACAAATAGTCAAGACCTTATTATGAACATTTGGCCAAACTCAAAGATCATTATCTCGAAGTGGATTCTCTACTCTCTGGGGAATTACCAACTAGTATAGCTAAATCTTTCTTACCAACTACCAAATCTTATACTCGTCAAGTAGGAGATTTAGAGGAAGAAGTCAGAGGTAATTATTTTCCTGCTTGGTTAAGAAGAGGTTCTTCATGGAGGGCAAATAGAGAAAGGAGAGAGAGGGGAATTGCTGATGATGAGGAGGAAGGGGAGAGGGAGGTTTTGTTACCTAGCGAGAGGGATGAGAGAAGGGAGCGGACAGCCAGAGTAGCATTGAATGGTTAGTTCTACGTAACATCTGACGATCATTCTCTCCTTCTCTTACAACACAATCTCTTTGCCCTGATGAACCTGCTTATCTAGCCCACAATGCTCATCAGAAAATAACATCATCCGCATGAACATTATATGTGAAGCAGTATTGACGGACAGTCAACACAATCATCAACGCTCTTTTAGTAGCAGCGAAAACAGTCGCAGTACTATATTCCAGTTCCATCTCCCTCACGGCCAGTCTGGTAGATTCAGCTCTAGACCTCTTGAGTACATTCATAATATTGGGTACGAGTTGGGCAATAGGTTTACAGACGGATAAACATCTAGTAAGGCTTTCTTTCCTCGACATTTTGGATCATACTGATGAGTAGTATCCAGCTGGAAAACGGAGGTTTGAGCCTTTGGGAGTGGTAAGTTTCACCTTTTTCTTCCTATTACACAAACCCTAGATTTCCGGGGAGCTCCTTTAGATTGGATTACCTGGGTAGTGACCATTTTGGAGGCGCGACCTGGCCAAGGCAACAGTTGACTCTTTGCAAGTATGATATGAGTAAAAAAAGTGGGTATAATATGATTACAGACTAACACATAGCTCATATTTTCCGTAGCCATGATAGCTTCCTTCGTCCAAGTTTTTATCGAATCTTTCCAACGAGTAATCGGACCACAGGGAAAGAGTCCAGTGGAACTTAGCGCCATAGGTATCGCGACTATGTTAGCTACCATAGGAATCAAAGCTGTAATGTAAGCTGTTGAAAACTTCTCGCTGTGAAAGCTTACCTGTAGATGGGTTTGGTGTTCCCGTATACCTTCTTCCGGTGTACAAGCTCTGGCTCAAGATGCGGAGAATGACGTTTGGTTTAATATCATGTCTTTGGCTTTTCCTGTGGGTTTTCTTCTCTAGTGACAAGTGTCACATCTGCCTCTGTTCCGAATTGAGGGAGGGGTGTTGTCTGTGAGGAGGGACGAAGTGTGACACAGTGCCGTCTTTGCAATTGAGAGATAGTTTTTGTATGGGGATAAAGTTGCAACATAGTATCGTCTTTTCAGGTGGTCGGCAGATGGAAGAAGTTGACGAGGGGAATTGGTGTGACCTAGTGCTGGCTTGGCAGTTGGAATTTTGTCTCAGAGGCTTAGAGAGGGGTAGGAAAAGAGTTGGCCCTGACCTCCAGTTTATCGGAACGAAGATACATTGGCGTTTACTCGATCCTATAGGTGGTATGGTACTTTCGACATATATAATATTTGAATGGGTAAAGACTTTATTACAAAACTTTGCAAATTGTCAGTTCCATCCTTTTTAATCTCCTCGTCACATCATGTTTCTTCTTCCATCGCTATCCCAATTATAACGTGTTTATCTTGCCCCACTTGTGTGATGGATCTGCTCTTTGGGACTCGTGGTGAACTTTCCTCATGACATATTGACCGGTAATCTACCTGTCTTGCAAACTGTCTTACGGAATCATGAGAAACTCTCCTCATTTGACACGTTGGGTCCGTAACCCAGTTCTCTTCTGAACTCATGATGATCTCTGCTTCGATGCAACGTCATCGAGGGAAATGTGAAAGTGAAACAAGAAGAGTTGATCATCAGTATCTGGCCGTACAGCAAGTAGAGATCACCTTACAAGAGTTATATACCTCGTCACTCGATTCAATCCAGTTTTGGAGATTGCAGATGTGGAATGTTATCATATAGGGTGGGTCTGTTTCTTTCCCTCTCTTTTCTTCATCCACTCCAAGTTTCCTCTTCAGTCATTACCTTTTGACTCGGTATTTCACTTTTCTTCTCTATTCGTCGATTCGTCCCTGCTTCAATATCGTCCATGAGATTAAATTCATCCTTCGCAAATCATACTACCAGTTTCATCTCGATATGGTCAGGTTCTCACCACATTCTCACCTGTCCACATTCCCACATTTCCACTTTCTCACACTCCACCTTTCAGCTTCACTTTCTTACTTTTACACTTTCCCAAATTTCACATTTCGCCATTCCAGAATTCCCCTTACATATTGACATGTTGCGTGATATAAATGTTCATGGTAAAACTCGGATGAATGCTGAAACACACACAGTGACGATTTGATAGTAGAGATAGATGTCATTTTACCTCATTCATCAACACTTCATTTCGCTCATGATGTTGGGGAAACTATCCAATGTGTTCTTGAAAGTCTTGAGGGGATTATAAGGGGGTATGTTCAGGGGGTTTAAATATTTTCTTTTTTTTTTTACTGTACATCATTTTTTTTCCTTGACCTAAATCATCTTTCCGGTTCCCCTTTACAAACATTCAAAATACACATCAACTCTCCTTTGTTCAATATCTCAGATCTCCCGCCCCCCCCCCCCCCTCCCCCACAATCTTTTCAATGGTCGATAATCCCTCTCAATCTGATAAAAATACCTTATCGTTTTCTTATCAATCTCGTTCCATCTTAACTTTCCAACTTTCCAACTTTCCAACTTACCAACCTACCTCCCATCTCCCCTAGCTCGATTCAATCACCTCTAAACCAGCACACGATCAACGTCTTGTATTGAATATCCATATTGTGTATGAATACGTGATAAGTGACTAATGACAAAGTTGTGATTATTCATCTTCCAACCCGTCAGTTTTCCCCTCATAAACCACTATATATAATTACTGATGATAGACAACAACATACATCCCGTTTAGTCCCACCACCACTAGGAACGATCGATTCGACTTCTACTGAACTTTCTTCTGTACAGGATGAAAGTATAGATTTAGCTACACAAGGAACTTTACAAGTTTGTTCAGGAGGTGGGAAATCTGATATCGTTAATCTGAATGGTGAAGATGGACTTGTTTCATAAAGACTCAAATGATCAAGATTATGTTGTATGCATACACGACCTTAGTCTCCCTGGCTCCCTAGGCCCTTTCAATTCTCACGGTCTATGGGATGTTGAGGATCATGTAATGATGCATTCAACTTGATTTAATTGATGATGGTAATGGTCCTAATGATAAAGCTCCTTCCCATTCAACTTCCACCCATTCTTCTTTACAACCTTCACAATCATCTTGACAACCGAAAACCAATATACTACCCCATTCCATTTCCCCAATCTCTTCTTCTTCCTCACTTTCTCCATCTTTCTTCTCATCAAGATTGTTTATACCCTGTCTGGTCAACTTGGCAATCTCTTTCTTCCTCTGTACCTCACTCAACTTTCCTTTCTTCTTCACTACGTTCTTTCCAGTGGTGGTCAATGTGTCAGGTGACAAAAGACTAATCAAAGTAGGTACCAACTGTACTTCAAACACTCTTTTGGAACCACACGAACATCTAGGTACGGAAGAAGGATCGTAATACGTTTCAAAATCTAATTCATCTTCATCTTCCGGTTTAGAAGGCAATGGTACTCCCGGCCAAAGAACTTTGAACGTTTTTGATGTCGATGAATAAGGAAGTGGAACACCATTCAGGTCGTATCGTAATACATGACCTTGGGCACCTTGTGCATTGGACAGACGTGCGACAAAACGCTGTAACACTTCATCGACACCTTTACGAAGGAGACGTTCCCATTGTTCGTCTTTCCAAGAAGGATCGTCTGGACCTTCGGAAGAGGCTGAGGAGGAGGAAGTTGGGGGAGGAAGGTATTCACCGGTGGTGGTGAGATATTGAGGGGGTTGGTATGCTGGATAAGGGGGTGAGTAGGTGATTGCGGAAAAGGGGCTGGTGGGTGATGTATCTTTAGATAGGTTGGATGGTAAAATGGTTTGTGATGGTGTGGTCGATGGATCGCTCATAGCGGGTGGTGATGTAGTGGGTTGGGAAGGTGAAAAAGAGGGTTGTGTAGATGAAGGTGTTTGAGGTTGGGGAGAGGATGAAGAGAAAGGATTTATCGAGGACAGGGAAAGGGAAGACAGATCTGGAAGATGGGTTTGAGAGAAGAGGGTGGAACTGAATAAAGAGTCTTGAGGGGTTGATAACTAATCGTCAGTCGACAGCTTCGTTGAGTAGAAAAGGGGGGAGACTCGCTGAGAATGGATTCTGTCTTGCTTTTTCTCTTTCGGCAACACGAGCCGCCTCTTCCTTTTTCCTAGTCTCTTCGACATCCCGAACGTACTCTTCATTCCTTTTCGAAGCACGGAAAGCTCGAATGCTAGTTATCAGCTAGAAGAAAGTCGTACAATAACTTTTTATGGAGGTCATACATGAGAGGGTGACCAATATGATCTGTGCGGAAAGTGAGATCAAGACCGGGTGAAGAGGTAAAAGATACTCACCTCCCATATTTCCTCTGACACCTCACTCTCGAACATGCGAAAACATAGACGGTCCTATCATTCGTTCCACCTTCAGGGGGACAATAGACCTGTACCAACAATGGCATGTCCCCGCCGCAAACTTTACATTTCACTCTAACAGGGACATCAGCCATGGAAGGGAAAGTAGGATACCCTCCAACGAATGATACATTGGGAGAATTTCTATCTGGGTGATTATCAGATATGATTCCATCAGGAAGAGCTAGTAAAGTGTTAGAGGTTGGTAATGAAGAAGTTGATGATCCTGATGGTGAAGAAGGGGACATGATAGATTTGCTCCTGGTTCATCAGCCTTCTTCACACTTTGTGTAAGACGTGTCATGAAAGATGGCAAAGGTGTAGAGTCAGAATAAAGTCGCCAAACTAAAGAAAGACTCGGCATCACCTTATTCCATTTCACCATTTCACCATACGCCCTTGATCCCCTGCACGAGAGACGAAATTACCAAGACGGTAGTTCATCTTCCAGCTAGGGAGGGAGAGTGATGAGATGGATCAAATCTGAAAAGAAAGGTTAAGTCTCGTCATCGGTATCATCATTCTCAAAAGTGTGTCATGGGGTTGTCAGAGGAGAGAACGCTTACTTTTGTTACAGTATATAGAAGGTCTGACAGAAGTGGAATGGAATGGAGAAGACGAAATTTCTTGGAAGAGAGGGGCGGAGGGGGAAATGCCACGTCAGTCTTCCACGCGAATGCTTTTCAGGGTTGATGAACACGTGATATGTGGTGGTCCGAGCGGAGGTGGCGGTGGCGAGAAGTGCGGGGCGGTACAGTAGCTCAGACATGCGAGACACCCTTCAGCCGTCACCCCACAGCGATTGGAGCGGGAGTACAGTTCAGCGGCGGGGGCGGTATATGTAGCTAGTAGCTCGTAGTTAACGGTTCAGGAGTAGGCGGCCAGGCGGGACAAGAGTCAAACCAATAGCAAATCAGAGACAACTGTCACATCCACCGGTCTTTCTTTTGAGAGTCGCACGAGGCTTAGTGACGGCAACGTTCCACTCAATCACAACCGGGTCAACACAAAAATCCCCTTCCTTTCTTCTTCCCTCCACTTTCAAACTCTTCTTATATTATACTACTACCTTTTCCATCTAAAACAACTTAACGATCATTATGCCGCTTCCGGAACAGACATACATCCCCGTACCGGGCTTCGAACAGCTGTCCAGGGATTATGAACGTTACAACACCGGGTTGGAAGGTTCGAAGAGTACCAGCGGTCAGTGCGAGTTCTGTTTCATCCTCGTTGCTTGACGATAGGAGAGAGTGTAGTGAAGGGTCGTGATCCTTGACAGTATACTACCAGCTTCGTAGAAATTGTTGAGCTTGTGATTCTATCATCCCTCACTTTCAGTCCTGGAGACTTGACAAACATCAGCAGTGCTGATTTCTAGCTTCTCGAAACTTACGACCTCAACCCACCAGCAGCTCTTCAGTGAGTACTTCTCTCAACATTATCATATAATCCAATCATATCTTATCGTTCCTTACGTATCACTGATCAACAGGGAAATCGTCTTTCTCGAGCTTCTTTAACTCAACCATACTCTGATTATTCTGATCCTTACCCTACCCCATCCCCAGAACTAAACGCCGATTACTCTTACAAAGACTTACCTCCCGCTCCTATCCCCACACCTTCAGAAACTCCTGGCGAGATGCCAATGTCTATGGCTCCTGGAGCTTCTATGGCTTCAAGGGGGAATAGCGAAGCTTATCAAAATATCCCATCAGAATCGTATTACCCACAACAGACTACAGCGTTTACCGCCACACCAAGGAGAACGAACAAAAAGTGGTGGGTCATCGGAGCGATCATATTGGGTATCGCAGCTGTGATCGCGATCATCGTTGGGGTGGTGGTCAGTCAAGTACACAAGAACTCTTCCAAGGGATCTTCTAGTAAGGATACGAGTACGAGTAAAAGTGGGAATAATGGTGGAACGTTGAGTGATCCGAATGATCCGAGTAATTTCGCAAAGGATTCAAGATTACATCAGTCATTTTGGGGTTTTGCCTACACGCCGAATGTAAGTAAATGTCCTGAGTTACTGGAATTTATGTACGGGAAGGGTTGTTTGCTGATACTTAGGATACACAACCTCCCTGGTGTGGTGCGACGCAAACGAATGTCACAAAAGACATACAGGTCAGTTGACCAAGCCAGTCCTTACACAGCTGACACATTAGCTTCTGTCTCAACTCACCACCCGTTTAAGATTGTATGGTTCGTTATGCAACACCACGGCTTTGGTTCTCCAGGCTATCCAAGATACAAAGACCAATTTGACTGTTTGGCCAGCCATTTGTAAGCTAAAATGGTTTCATCCGCCTTCAGCTTACCCTCAGATGTTGATTCCAACGAAACAGCTTATGAAGCTCAGGTGACTGCTCTGAGCGATGCGTTGACGACTTATGGCGTGGATAACGTTGAGGGGGTGAGTTCTCTCACACCACGTTCAAATCAATTATCGAGAACACCTGTTGATGGCAGGTTATCGTCGGAAACGAATACATTCTAAACACGGCGGGTTCATCGACCAACACATCCGCATCGTACCTCACAGCTGTGGAAACGATCACGAGCAAAGTCGCCGATGTCAAGTCGAAGCTCTCAGCTTTGAGTCTTTCAAAGACGTTACAAGTTGGCACAGCCGATGCTGGGTCGATCTTATCTACGACGCTGGCCGAGGGTATCGATTTTTATATGGCCAATGTTCACCCGTACTTTGGTTCCGTGGCTATACAAGATGCAGCGACTTGGACCACTGAATTCTTTGGGAACTTTGATACCGTAAGTCAAGCTTTCCGCGCTTCGTCGATATCCATATGTCAATGCTAACGAATAGTCTGTCGCTGCGACCGCTTCCAACCAACCGGCCTCCTTCATCGCTGAAACCGGCTGGCCCACTCAGTCTATGGATAAAAAAGATGCCAGTGACGGTGCTGGGTCACCTCAGGGTGATGCCAGTGTGGCAAATTTACAAAGTGAGTCTTAAAATCTTTTCCGGGTTTTTCGCTGACGAGTAGCATTCCTGGATACTTTTGTATGTCAGGCTACGACCAATGGATCTGCATATTTCTAGTATGTCCTTTCCATATTCCACCTTATCCTCTTGCATCTCAAATAACACCTGGTATGAAGTATCCCGCTAAGACGCAGCTTTGAAGCATTCGACGAACCATGGAAGGCTCAGTTTGGAGGGGTTGAACCTTATTGGGGGTTATTCGATTCGGATAGGAATTTGAAAAAGATTACTATACCTCAGTGTTAATGATGACGATTAGGACGAGGACGATGATTAGTTAATGCATTTGTCGATTTGTTGTACGAGGTAGAGGGGAGAAGTCATTGTCATTGTCAGAATTCACAGTCAGCGGGTCACTCCAATCGTAATGGTGTCTCCAAGAATGCGAGCGGAGTAACTTTTCGGACGTCGGAGAATAATTGCGGAGTGATAGACGGCAAACGGTCCGTACTTTCCGATCGTATCGAATGACGACCAAGCATGCGTATCTCACCGTCAGAGTGAGCAAAGAAGCACAGTAACTTATGTATGCAAGAGTGGAGCATTGGACAGAATTGTTTCTTTTTACAAATACTTCTATTAGTCGAAAGATAGAGAAGAAACAGCGGAAATACATCAAGTTAGAGGGGTAAGAAGGAAAATGTTGAATCCTCTACCTCAACTAGGTTCGACGGAATTCAGTGGTCATATATCTTTAAACGAATTACAAGATGTTCAAGATGTTCAAAATGTTCAATCTTCTATCGTCAGAAGTCAAACAAGTACCAGTTCCCATTCGGAACTACCCAAGATCATCAACGAACCTTCAAACGTCCCAAACTCAAGAACTGTCGAGACTTCTCATCATACGTTTCTAACTCTACACAATGAAGTCCGTGATGTATCACAACTGGATTCGACGGATCAACTTGAAGGTAATCATCAAATATCTCCGGTGAAGCTGACGAGTGGGATAGAAGGGTATTCTCAAATATCTCCAGTGAATGTGATTGGTCAACGGATCATAGGGAATCGATCGATAATTCCAGAACAGGACGGTCAATTCACTGAGAAGATAAGAGAAGAAATACACTTGACAAGGAGAGATGAAGAATCACACTTGACAAGGAGAGATGAAGAAGAAGTTCACTTGACAAGGAGGGATAGAGAAGAAGTACAATTGACAAGGAGAGATAGAGAAGAAGTACAATTGACAAAGAGAGATAGAGAAGAATTACAATTGACAAGGAGAGATGAAGAAGTACAGGGAGAAGAAGGGAATCAAGAAGCCAGTATACAACTTGGGATATTAGAACAGCAAAGAAGTTTAGATATTGGGATACCTATTTCTTTCAATCGACGAGATGGTCATGGTTCAAGTGAAGGATACAAACCTAGTTTGTATGTGGCTGCTACTTTAGTTTCGTTACATGGATGGGTAGGTTTTATCTCTTTACGAACTCCTCTTCGTCACTTCTTCTGCTCATCCCACCTCTTCTTGTTATTTATCTCCCTCTTCTCCTCTTCCTCCTCATTAGTTCTTGTAGTATCCCAATCGTCTAAAACCTCCGGATCACTTAGATCCTCCTTCTCTCCCTGACTCCCCTTTCGACCAGGTATCCAACTGTCCAACTCCCAATCACTCAGCTGCCTAACTACACAACCAGCCCCTGGCCAGTGAAAACCATCCCATAACCACTCTTTCCAGACCAATATGATCGTTCTAGTAAACAACACAATATGTCCAAGAAACATAAACTCATCCTAGCTATTCGGTTTCGACACAGGTTCCATAGGTCCCGTAACTGAAATGATTCAATTCTTCCCTGTATCCCCTTCCATACAAGGTTTAGTAGTAGCTACCATCCTTCTCCCTGCTTTAATCTTCTCTTTACTCTCTGGACCATTGGCAGATCGATACGCAAGGGTAAATATCATGTCTGTCGGAACTGCGATTTTCGCCATTGGTTCAGCTATAGCTGCCGGTTCGAATAGTTTAGGAATGTTCGTAGTTGGGAGAGCTATTTCCGGATCAGGGGAAGGTTTGTTTTTGAGTCCTGTGGGTGTTTGGTTAATTGAGAGTGCACCGAAGGAGGTGAGTGATGGGTTGTTTTTTTTCTACTCGCTGAGGAATGCGCTTCTCCCTTTTGTTCGGTTGGATTTTTCTTCTCTGGAAAGTGTGGAGTGGAATACCTCATTATGTGGATGTGCGGAAGTCCTTGTTTGTTTTGAGATTGTGAATCGCCATATTCTTGCCATTGTGCGGTATATTCATTCTTGGTAAATGCCATCGGATCCACCGCTTTCAGAGATCGACGGATGGGGTGATAGGATTTGAGTGGATAGGAGGGTGAAGTGTGAGGAATTCGAGTGATGGATAGTCGTAGATCATGGTGTGATGAGCAGAAGAGGAATTATATGCTGATAATAGAAACGAGGAGAGATTAGTGGATTGGTACAACTCATCATTGTTGTGAGTCCTTCTCATCAAGTAGAAGACAAATCAGTACTGAGGTTCAGATCGGCGTGGCCGCAGGATATTTCACAACGTATGGAAGTAGTTATATACCTAACGATTGGCAATGGCGTATACCGTATATTTCTCAAGCTATCATGGCTGCGTTTTTAAGTTTCGTGGTTCATGTGAGTTCTTGTTCCCCCGTCCCCCTTTCTCCTAATTCCCTATTCCTTCTCGCTCTCCCTTCGCATCTCCTCGCCCCTCCCTCTCCTTCTCACCTTCTACTTCCTCCCCTTCCCCTCCTTCCCCAAATTTTGCCCTATCTCAATTTCTCCCTCTCCCCGGGCTCCGTTGTCATATCGCCGAATCAGTCAAGTTCGAGACTGATCCCACCAGACCAGATTCGTACCAGAATCCCCACGTTGGCTCCTACTACGTTCATCAAAACCTCACACAGCACTCATAATCATCGAAGCTTTCGCACCGAACGCCGCTAGCGCCGAAATGGAAAAATCCGAGTTGGTGGTTCGTTGTCAACGTGAGAGACAGGAAAGGGAACGAAAAGCTGCCATTGTTGATAGAGAGAAAACGTTATCGGAGAAATTAGGTGTGGATGGGATGACAGAGTGTTTTCATAAAGAGGAAAGTAAAAGGTGGAAGGCTGCTTTGGGTATCGTAAGTTTTCCCATCACCATTCCATCTCTCCTCTTTTCATCTTCTTCTTTTCTTTCTCACTCACTCTCTTCTTCTCCCCATCCGGGACTGGATCGAATTTTCCATCAAATCGATAAAAACCGTCTTGCGTATGATGACCATATATCTTCATCCAATTTGCTTGTCTTCTTTCCATGATAGATAGGCGAAACAGAGGAAATATGAAATTGACACTTAGTTCTTCCTTGGAATCCAACAGTTATCCGGTGTAGACGCAGTGTTATTTTACGCCCCGATAATCTTCACTTCAGCAGGTATATCCTCTAAACAAGGTTCTTTCCTCGCCTCTGGTGTGACTGGAATAGTGGGCGTTATGTGAGTATTTTCTTTTCTCTTATATCCATGCACATCTGATTTTTCTCAAACCTTATCATTCGTCGACGTAGCCGGGTGATGGGTGATGGGTGAAGATATAAGAGAGCTGATAATTAGCGCTATGATACCAACTCAAAAGTATTTGGTAGATAAAGTCGGAAGACGTATCTTGACGATTATAGGGGGGTTAATCATGGGTCTCGCTCTATGTATGTCCATCCTCTCCGACTTTCTCTTCCTTTTCCATCTCACCCTCTCTCTCCTGAAGTTGCTTCGTATTCATGCCTCAAACCATGTACAGCTCGTCCTTCTCCTGAGCGATAAACTTGTCCATGAGCTGAAATCAAGTGATCATCGGTGTTTTGTTCGCCGTCGAACCAGTTGGAAAGAAATCTGTAGTTTGGGCAGTTGCTGGTCTTATTTATATTTTCATAGCTGTGTGAGTACATATTTCTTCTTCTCTCTTCTACCTTCCTCTCTCATCATATATGTACCTCCATGAATGTCTCCTTATCTTCGTCTTCATAGTCTGCCTTGTATGATCTTCTCCTCCGCCCATTGTACACCTTATTTGAGCCTCCTGATTGCTCAGAACGTCGTATGTCCCATGTCAACTGTACATCCACCAGGAAAGATGACAAAGGCTCATTTATCAGTTTCCAAATGACTTGGTCAGCCACTCTGAAAACGTTTTGTAACGAGATACAACCCAATTCCACCCGAGCCAGCGTCTCCGCCCTTGCTCAATGTGCCAGTAAGTTCTTCCTCTTCCATCATCACCTGAACTGAACGCTAATACCCGACTTAGATTGGATAGTCAACATCATCATAGCCGTCGCGACTCCTCCTTTTATTAAATATTCCCGAAGTGGACCTTTCTTTCTATATGGCGCATGTTGTGGTAAGTCTCTCATCATCTTCCTCAACACACATATAATCCCACAAGCGTCAGAGTGATTCTCGTATCAAGAGGCTTAGATGAGTTACACTGATGATCACTATCAAGGAGCAAAGTTGAAATAATCGACACAAGCTGATATCAGTCATCGGTGGTATAGCTGGGATCTTCATGCCTGAAACTAAAGGTCTCAGTATGCAAGCTATCGATGATGCTTGGGATAAGAAAGCCGCTCAAACTCGATTGAGAATGAAAAGAATGAGACGGTTAGTTGGGTTTAGACATGAATCAGAAGAAGTTTCATTGACTGGAGTTCCCCATTCGGCATAGAGTGTAATTGTATATCAGGGATATGTACAGTATGACATGTTTGTACGTGTTGTTACTCATCAGAATCACTGATATAATCTTTTGACAGGAATTTCTTAGGAGATACAGTCTTCCTTCTGCTTGAAGCCTTTGTCTTTTTCTCCTTTTTCTCATCTCCCCCCAGGGTCTTTCTTCGTTTTTCCCCTTTATTCTGAGCAACTTGATCCGGGACGACTAACGAGCTGGATGTCACTGCAGGATGAGAGGGAACCGTGTTGGGATTGGGAATATCGTTTCTTTTTCGTTTCTTCGAAGTGACTTGATCCGGGACGACTAACGAGCTGGATGGCGCTGTGGGATGGGAGATTACCGCGCTGGGATTGAGAACATCGTTTCTTTTCCGTTTTTTCGGAGCAACTTGATCCGAGACGACTAACGAGCCGGATGGCGCTGCGGGTTGGGAGGGAACAGAGGTCGGTTCAATGCCTTGACCCCTCTTTCGTTTCTTCGATTGTTCCTTCGATGGGATAGACACGGTAGATGGCTCTTCATGAGATTTCTCCGTCGTCTCCTTCTCTATCACTTCAGAGTCCATCTCCTCGTATCGTCTCTTGAGTCGTTTCAACACTCCTATTTGTCAGAGCCATACCCATCGTTGTGACTCACGCGAAAGTTTCATCTTCATTTTCGGATCAACCTCCTTTTGCATTTCTTCCCATACCATTTTCAGCTCGTCAGGGGAGAACGTGGCTAGTTTCTTCTTGACCAATGATGTCCAATTGATATCACCCGAGGAAGTCACACTTTGCTTTTTTATCCTACAGATAAGCACTGGTTTAGCTACGAGTAGAATCACACACCTATTGATGAGAGTCATTCGTTGATTCTTGTCCAATACCGTTATCGCAGACTTATCCGATGCTTGATTTCTTATCGTATCAGTATGCAAAAGTTTCACCAAAATGAAATCACGTACCTGCTAACGACATTCTTTTCGACCACCGCGCCCGCTCTCACCTCCGGAAGAATCTCCGACATTTGCCTCACGGCCTTTTCAGTAGATTTCCCCTTACGATCGCTGATCCCATTAATCGTTTTCCTACACTTCAGCTCATTCATTCATCTTTCGTAAACTCACCAATGACGTCCATAAATCGCAGTAGGTCTAACACCACCCATAATCCTAGCCATCATTTCCCAGTCCCAATCTGACATCGGTTTCTCCACCGTTACGACCTTTTTGACAGCTTCGTTGAGCTTGTTCGTTTCTTCTTCCGTCCAGGCTTCTATTATCAGCAAATAGTTTTGGAAGATGGGATGGGCTTACTCTGAATATGATCATGCCATGTCACTCTAACCTTTTGCCACTTATCACGACAGTCTAAAGCACTTCGACCGACCTCTTCTCCGAGTTTGACCCAAGAACCGGGATACAAAGGGTGAAATCTGACCGTGAGCGGTTATGAGGTTGATGTACCTTTGACTAACCTCAAAAGAGTCGCTTCTTGTTCTTCGGACCATATACCTTGTCGACTGAGAGGATCATACATTCTCTGAACCATGTCTTTGACATATTTCACCGGACGTCCAGGAAGGTTTGCCGCTGAGATTTAGCAAGATCTGACGCGGTGAGAAAGACATACCGACTTGCGGCCAGAATTTCGGATATTCTTTCCTCTCGGTATTCTCCCCTTTGGCCATGATTATCTCTAACAGCTCCTCATCTCCAAGCTTGTTAATCTGAGATGAGCAGAATCCACCCTTGGAAGGACTCACACTCTTGAAGTTGTCAAAGTATGATCGAACAGCAGCTTGTTCATCTTCGTCGAATTTACCACGCTTATAAGTCAAGACTAGGAATCAGCAAAACTGGGTTTGAGAGAACACCAAACACTCACTCCCTTCGCTTTCTAACCGATTTAATTCTGCAGGTTTGATCCATCTGTCACAGAGATACGCATTAATATGCTCTTCATTTCGAAGCAGTCGTCGCAATACATCGTCTGAAAGTGGTGGAGGTGCCTTCTTTTTGCCTTTCTTATGACTCGTCATCGTCGAGGGTCCAGCTGTCAGTGAAGCTTCCGTAGGCCCATTGTTTGACTGTTCAGCTTTTTTACGAGAGCGTTTCGTCTTCTTCACTTCAGGTGAGGTTACCACAAGACCGCCGGTAGATGAGGAAGGGTCCACCGGACTAGCCCGTCTGCGTTTCTTGGAGGATTTCTCCCGGGCCACAGGTCGATGTGTCGGAGACGATTGTGGAGCAGCATTGGAAGATGAACATTGACTTTGTCTAGATCTTGTGGATAGCCATGAAGGAGCAACAGCTTTGGCTCGTGACCAAAGACCGTCCATTGTATGTATTTTCGAAAGAGTTGGAGTGTGAGTTGTGAAGAAGAAAAAACAATGTGGCACTTCTAGTTGTATGTGGCATGTGGCACTTTCCGCACCTCGGAGCCTTTCTCATCAGTTGCTGCTAAAAGTGCCACACTCCTACACACGGATCATCACTTTGCCGCCCACTCGACTTTCTCTTTCTCTTTCTCGTCCCTTCTCTTCTCTTCTCAACACTCTCTCAACGTCTTCTATCAAACACATATCTGGTAAGTTTACTCACCTATAGTAATTCGTTGTCTTCCTCACCCGTTCCGGTCTCAGACACGTCTGACTATCCAATGTACTCTAGTCACTAACATTTTCCCTTCTCCCGGTAGTGTTTGAGTGCCTTCGCTTCGTGAGGAACCATGCTGATTATAGTTTCGTCACTCTCACAGATACCAAACAGATTTTTACTTCGTGACACCCAGTTCAAGATAGTGCAAGACGGGCTACTTGCCAGAATGACCCTGCTTTGGGGAAACTTCACCGGAGCGAAAGACTCATTCGATAGGGAGATGGCAGTACACGGTCACCTAGAAGAGGCGGCTATCGTAGCTGCTAGAACTGATGGCTTTGAAGCCATGGCGGATTCTTTCAATAAAGGTCTCTCAAAATCCATTCTCGGGAGGTCAAGCTTTGGAACGACACGATTCGACTACATGGATCACGTAGATGCTGTTGTCTACCTTGGTTTGGAAGAGATTCAAGGAAGTGAATTTGAGCTCGCCATAGTCTCTGATAAAGCAAAGGCCCACGAGTAAGTCATTCCCACTCTATCATCCGACTTGACTGACCGGAAAGGTTTGAGAAAGATGATAATGGTGATCCTGTTCGAAACGAAGACGGTTCAATCAGATGGAGCTACCCAGATGCACATCGTCTCCGAACCAACATCATTTGGCCCGTACTCAATCAATGGTCCAAACTTCCTAAAGACCCCGAAGCCTGGAAGACTCTCTGCAATACTACTCCTCCCGAAGTTGTACCTACTCCCACCAAACAGACCCACGAGCGTTATATGCCATGGATCCATCAGATCACCGCAGTCGCCAACATAGTCGCTCGCGGGTTTTGTCAAAACGATTGGTCAGGTGAGAACTTCGCCACCCTTCTCTGCGATGAGCCCGGTCTTGGGAAAACATGGGTACCTTTTCTCTTTGCGACTCTCATGAGGTACTACCGAGAGAGAATGGCGAGGGATCCGAACTTCAATCCACCCGTGATGAATCCTTGGAAGGAGGACTTCGTTCTGCCTCAAAAGAAGTGAGTGAACCATACTAATACTCATCCCCCATCCTCTGAGATACTACCCACCATAGAGCTTCACATACTCCAGGAGTGTCAACCAAAGAGTGATACCATCGTCTTCCGGAAATTCCTCCACGACGCCAAAACTAACATTCAGTATTTCAATGCCTCACGGTCCCCCTCCCCCTCCTTCCTTCATAGCCGATCGCCGTCTGAGACTGTCATCGTCTGACAAAGGTGGCATACACATCCTCTTATCGGACAATAAGTTCAGCTCCGTACATTTACTAGAAGCCAAGAAACTGGTCGTTGAGGGCGCTACCGTCGTCTGCGACTATAGCCGCGTCCCGAGTAGTAGTATGTCTCTCCGAGCGGAATTTTGGACTATGATCAATGAACACCTCGCCCTAGAAAGAGACATCTTCATAATCTGCTCTCACGCCATGTTACACCACGATGCTCAACTGGCTCCAAAACCCAGGTCGGCGTTTTCCTCAACAGATGCTCCATGTACGCTCTTCACTCCAAGTCGTCCATACCATACACTTTTCGCCGATAACCTTGCCGATCTGAGGGATCCCGAGACTGGCACCTCATTCGCCCTTCGACGATTGGTAGAAATGAGTGGTTGTGTGATTGGGGCCACCGCGACCCCGATATACACCTCGGCCGCAGATCTCATCTCTTTGTCTCGACTGCTTGGTGTGGAGAACATAGTCCCTCGACCGACCAAGAACTGGCTTTTATCCATCACAACAACTAGACGAGCAGGGGATCTACCTAACACTCCATTCATCGTTGGGGGGAAGTTCGATGGGACTGGTCTTACCCCCAGTTCAGCCGAATTACTCAAAGTGACGGAGGTCGTGGAAGCTGAGGCTCGTCGTGCTTTCTGGGCCGAAGCCAATAAGGACAAGCAACGTGGCAAAGCCAACATCAAAGATGATCAGATTCGGAAGATGGAACAGACGCTGCTATGGGAACGTAGCGATCTCAATAACGGTATCGCTGTCGATGGAAGCTGGGCTGAAGTCAGAGGTCACTTGATCAAGCGCGTCATCGATCCTATACAAGACTTACTCTCGCCCATATTCATCCGTCGAGATTCGCTATCGAAAGGACCAGATGGTCTCCCCCTCACAAGTATCAAGCACATCGACCCTGTTCCTGTTTACGTCGACCTTTCCAGAGAAGAACGCAAAGCATATGAAGTCTTCGACAAAAGCCTGGATCCCTGTGATAAACTTAATTGGGCGACATTGACAAGATTCATACGCAAACCTCACGGAACACGGTTTGGGTGGCATTCGCCATACGCTCCTATCCCCAAGATCATCGAGAAGATGTGTAGCATGATACGAAAGATGATGAAGGACGATTACCATAAATCAAACCACTTGAAACGCAAAATTATCGTTCAGACTCTGTGGACAGACCTGATTCCTTTCCTCCAGCTTAATATGTGTAAATATGGGATCGAAACTCGCACCCTCACCGGGGAAATCGCTCAGACCGCTCAGAGGGCGAAAATCATTCGAGAATTTCAGAGGGACGATAACTGCGAAGGTGAACCTAACGCGATGAAACTACCATGCAGCACGCTTATCGTATCGGACTTTGATTCTCCTGGCATCGTACTCGATCGCGCATCCGAGGTATTCCTACTGGACCCGTTATGGTCCTGTGCGGATGCAAGACGAATCATCAGTCGGGTGTGTGGTGTTGGGCAACGTTTTCCAGTGCATGCTTACATGTTGTGTGCCTCCCCAACCCACGAATCCAAGATGGTATCGTCGCACCTGTAGGGCGGACGCTGTTGACCGTTCCGTATCATGCAAAGAGGGAGTTCCGAGGAAAAACATGGATGAATGAAAGCGGCGAAGACCAGGAGGTAGATCAGTTGTGTGACGGGTAGGTGGGGGGAAACGAGGCAGAAAACGACCTGGCGGTCTTGGCGAAGTAGTCTGAAGGGGGACACCCGGGCCAGATTTTGTGAATATTCGAAGAGGATTGACCGTGAAGATCTAGGAGGAAACGAAGAAGTTGAGATGGAAAAAGAGTAAGAAAAGAATGTCCATCGTTTCCCTATCATGTACGTTTCCCTATCATGTACGTCCCCCAATCATGTACGTTCCCCTATCATGTACGTTTCCCTATCATGTACGTTTCCCTATCATGTACGTCTCCCTATCATGTACGTCTCCCTATCATGTATGAATGTACAAACTGTATGCATGTGAATATCATGTAATAAATCTAATACTGAACATGAGAAAGGCTATGGTCAGATGTGGATCTTGGGTTGGACGTCCGATGATCTCGATCGAGAAGACGTTAACTGATCACTCTGGCTCGATGAGTTTGACAGAGTGAACGAAAGGATACTGCAAGGGGAACATGTTCAAAGAGGCGAGAAGGCAGTAGGGGCGACTACCGCTACTATGGTCGAAACGGAGAAGAAGAGGGGTGTGTGGCACTTTCAATCCTACCTACCCAATGTGGCACTTTGACCCCACTTCCGTGCATCAATCCCGAGCGACCCCTGATTCAGGTATTTTGATCAAACAGCAGGAATGCGATAGAGGTTTCAATCTACGCCGGTCAGTAATACAGGATGCCGGTCTTCTGGGAGAGCGTCGCTCATCAAACCAGGACTCGGCCGACCAACGGGAACCTGAATATATTGGAAAATTCCGCTCAGAAACCCAAATTCGCAGCTTTCACTAAGCGGTATGCCCGTCTAGCAAAATCGGCCAATGCGTCCGACTCTTAAATATGAATCGGAAGGTTGTGGGTTCGAGTCCCACGGTGGGCTGTTCTAGCTTTTGTGATGATACCGCATGTGATGGAATAAAACCTCCGAGAAAGGGATTGATGGGAGGCCGGTTGAAGGGTGGTGAAGTGCCACACGGATGTAAATTGCCACGCGCGTCAGCCGCCACACTCGTCTCTCTTTGTGGCACTCATTTCTCGACATTTCATCGATCATAATAATCGTAACTATGCCCATCCCCACTCCGTCATCACCACTGTCCCTGCCGTCCTTGTTCCCAGATTACACAAGGGAGCAGATTGACGCTGCTAGGACATCCCTCTGGAATCCAACGTTTCGAGCTCTCACCATCCCTTCAGTCATCCTAAATTTGGCATCTCTGGGAGAGAAGGACTCATTCCTGCAGGTGAGTTTCTACATTTCCCAATCTCATCGATGAGCTGACGTCCCAGTAGTGGCTTGCCTCCGACTCTATCTTTCTTCCTGAAAATAGCGAGCCTTCCCGGCGTATAACACCTGCGTCGACTTCAAGCTCAGATGATGGTGATGATGAAGAGGCACCGGTGTATAGACTTCCCCTGCTCACCAAGGCGATCTGGGATGTGCTGAGGAAGTACGGAGGTGACGTGTTCCCGAAACTGAACTGGACTGCGCCTAGGGTGAGTCTGGCTGTATTCTCTAAGCCTATCTATCTCGCTGTTGGGCCCACTCTCTTCTCATATGCAGGCAGGCTTACGGGGTTCAAGCGGAAGTCTTTGATTGACGAGTTGACCCTCAGGACGCAGCATTCATCCTCCCACAAACTTCGAGCGGACCGTTATGCTGCACATCCCCTGCGGACGTATACCTCTTGCTCAAATCGAGCGATTTGATATCTCATGATCTGGATCCTGAAGCTGCTTACCATCCATCACCTCCTCCCGACGATGGTGTGAAGATCGAACTCGTCCTTCGGAAGTACACCTCGATAAATCCTTCGACAGAGTTTAGATGTTTCGTGAGAAGGAATATGTTTCTGGGTAAGTTGACAAATTGTGAGAGGCAAAGCTGAGATAAAGGTGTGAGTCAAAGGGATGGCAATCGGTATGAACATTGGCAAGATATCAGAGCGAGGCAGCGGTTGGTGGAGACTATTCGAAGTTTTTGGGAGGATGAGATACGGGGTGTTTATGAAGGTGGAGAAGATTGTGAGTGACCACGCTTCGTAGTTTTTTCGTAGGGTTTCTTCTGCGCTCTACGCCAACTCCTCTTGACACATCACTCGGACCATCTTTCTGTTGAGCCTCTACAGTTGCGTAAATGTTATGAAGCACCTCTGCTGATGCTCTCTCCAAATTTCCCCTCTCCTACATCTCGTCGTGTGCGTCTGTTCCGTTGCCCTATGGAAAAGGACGATGGGCAATCTGTGATAGACATGTTTTGATCCACTCACATCCCGCTTGCCGACACTTCAGAGGGTATGCTGACTGACCCGAAGACATCTTTGATATCGACCTACCCTCTCCTTCCTCTCCCAGAATCATCGATTTCAACATTTATCGACCAAGCACGGACCCACTCCTGTTCACCTATCCAGAGCTCCATGCCATTCTCATCCGCTCGCTTCAGCCTCCGGAGGAGGATGACATCCGGGAACGGTTACCAATCTTGCGAGTCGTCGAACAAGAGCGTTCCGGAGCGGGATACGAGTTCGCAGGGAATATGATGCCTCTTGAAATGGTACAGATGAGTCAGGGTCGGACTTTGGTTGATTTCACCAGGATTTGGGAGGGGGCAATGGGCGAGGCAATGGGGGATAGCGAAGATGAGTGAAACTTCTCCGTTACCTCACACTTCATCCATGTCCTCCGACAGGTATTCGAAAAGGTCCAAACGTCTGTCAAATTCACAAACGATGTCAGTCAAGAAGCATACATATTCAACATCATCCGTGTTTCTGACGAATCATGACTACATATGCACATGTCGAACATCTGATCCTCCAACTGATACAATCGTACATGTTCACGTTCCATCCTCTTACTCCTTGTCACTCTTGAAAGCGTTCACCACTGCATCCTTGACCCCAGCTGCCGCGTCCGTTACCTGCTGAGTGAAACCAGCAGGCTTGCCAGAGTCATTGCCTAGTGTCGCTGCGTCGCGGAGGGCTTGTCCGTCGGACTTGGTGGAATTGGGTTGGATTTCTGAGGCCAACCTGTAGGTCAACAAGAATTTGCTATTTGTGTGATCTAAGAGGACTCACTTATCCGTCTGACGTTTGAACGCTTCTCCGGTGGTTTGCTGTCCACTGGGCTTCAAAGCGTCAAATGCCGCCGAAGGACCTTGTCTACCGGTATCTCCAAAATTGTGATGATCGGCCGCCCCACTGTCAACGTTATCCCTAGCTAGTCCTTGGCGAGGGAGGTAAGATGCGGCGCTGTTTGTAAGTTTTCACTCAATTCTTGAAACCAACCCAGTATCGACTACTCTATACGAAGGATCAGACGACGAAGAAACGGCGACATGGGAGGGGTGACAAAGGTATTTAAATTGTTTATAGTTGCGGGAGGAAAATGACGAATCACACTCTCGTCGAGTTTATCCCGTACGTTATGTGCCGCCCTGTCGTGATCATCCTTCATGGCATCGGGCTCCACTTTATGTCCCACTGATCGTCAACAAGGTCTCATAGTTTCAACTTCCGTCTTGACCCCTTCGACATCGCTAATGAAGTATTCAAGGCGACCCGAATTTTATCGATTAGAAAGTGGCGACGCTTCGATTCTTACTCACACTTATCCGAGGTACTTTCCCGAAGAGACATATTTGCTTGTCTTTACTGATCTGTTACTCTTCAAGATATCTCAACTTGATTGATCTCGGTTGATGTCTAGAGGAAAGATGGAAGAGTTGGATGAAGGATACAGAAATGACGTTCTTATATCCATCTCGCCATAGTGGAGTCGATGACGCAGTACAAAGGATCGGAAAGGCCATCGTCATAGATGATAGTTCCTTTGGTGGTTGTGGAGTCGAGGACGATCTGGATGTTTCGACAGGTTGTAAGATCCTTCCAGGTGTTGGAGTGATCTCGACCTAGCGAGTATCCTTGGAGTGTTGGATGGTATGAAGGGGTATCGTGCTTTGAGTCATTCTTTTTAGATTCGAGGTTCAACTTGTGTCAGTAGCATGATGTTTCACACTCTCTTACCTAAAACTCAAAACTTTGTCCTTTTAATCTTCTCCTTCTCGTCCTTGTCAACCACTATAATCGACGTTTTCTTTTTTCCTCTCTTCCAGACGATGGTCAAAAGGTATTCCCTCGATCGGTCATGGTGAACAAGCTCGATATCATCTCTGTCAAGTCTGTCTGATTTCATCACGAACATTCATGATAAGCCAGTAAGACTACTCCTACTTTCCCTCTGTCAAGATGGGCATTGCAAGATTACTCTAGTGTTCTGAGTTGTTAACGGCATAGTGGGATAAATTGCTCATCAATGTCAAAAAGTTTGGATAATCTTTGCATTCGTTCAAGCATGAAAAAGCGTAAAAGTCCGTCAAGGGCCGTAGGGGTTCGTACGTATAGGTATATGCAGTATGGTATCTAAATGGGTATCGTAGAGCGGGCAAAAAAAAGATGAAATAAATATACAAGAACGAACCAAGATTCATTTCCGTTCCTTCCCTCCGTTATTATTTCCGGTGTGGTTCATCATGAGAGTCGTGTGTTCGGGAAGGTGAACGGAGGTTTGACATTAACAGTGAGATGGTTGAGAGAAGGGACGGGGTACGGTAGAGATGTTTACACTATCCAACGAGAGAGTGAAGATATTTGACATGTCGAAGAAAGGTCGATTCGAAGAGATAAACCAAAAACAAAACGAACACATCCCCCTCATGCCTTGTTCCCTCCCATAACCCCTCGGATAGCTTTGAAAATTCCCTTCACCTTTCCATCTTTCAAAGTTGAAGCGGCTGCCGGTGTTTGAGGACGTAATCCGATCCCTACGGTACTTGTACTAAACGTACTGACCAATTTCGAATTCCTCTTATCTTTGACTTCTTCAGCCAAATTAGTAATATGTCTTCCTCTTTCATCATCTCTTAATAAATTCCTTGCTTTCTCTCTTAAACTTGCCATTGAAGATGGTTTTGCCATACTACGCCAAGAAGACCAACCATCACCTTGTCTCACCACACCGGGAGTTTGATCGAGTAATTGTTCGTATACCCCTCTTTGACGATGAATATGTCCATGATCAACTTCATCTTCATCGTCGGAGACCAAAGGGATGGAGAGGGAAGATGGCATGGTGGCGAAATTACGCAAATTGGATTCGGATTTCCTAGCGGGGACAGCACGGGTGGTGGTAGAACGTAAGGCTGGTGTGGAGGGAGCACCACGTAGTGCGGGAGCTTTGAGTGGGATCATGGAAGGTTCGGCTGGTCGTTAGTGAAAAGTCAAGATTGAGAGTGATGACTTACGAGTGTTGGAACGTGAAGAAGGTCGATCAAAGATTTTCATAACGTGTGAGACTGGGGTAAGTCATTATTCACAAGTGATCTAACATCCCGGAGCATATCTTGGTCCACTCATTTCGAATTCAAAATGCCGCACAACAGAAAAGACTTGGTGAGATTGCAGGAGGGGTAAGGGGAAAAGTAACTCACTAGGCGCACGTTCCTTCCTAACACCCCTGCCCTGCATCTCCATCCATTCATTCGCCGCTCTGACCTTTGCCTCCGCCTCAGCATAGGTGAGATACTTGGGAGGAGTAGCAGGCTCCACTTGAGTACTAGAAGTTCTCAAATGAGCGGGGATAGCTCCTTTCTCCGGTGACACTCCGAATTGATGAGGTTGACCGAATGTCACCGCTCCTTTCTTACCGTGATTCTCATTCTTTCCACTGACTTGCTCTGTCGTCGTCTGCGTATGAGATGGTCCAGGGTTGGAAGATGTCTCCGCTGCTAGAGCTTCGGGAGTAAGACGAGCTGCAACTTCTTGTGGAAGAGATAGCAAAGGGAGATCGAGTTCTCGACCTTCTGCCAACGCTTTTCTAGCTTCGTCCACGATGACTACGGGTCAGCCTCGTCACAGGGATCATTCAAGAGGCTCACATTCGACGTTTTTGACAAAAGCGGTAATCTTGTCCAGTCTGTTGTCCAAAGCGAGAGCTTCGATACTTTTAGCCCTGGAGAGGGGTCTCGAAGCAGCTTCCGGGGTAGAGGTTTCAACTGCGAGTCAGCTGAATATTGAATCGCATCCATGTTGCTGACCTTTTGTCTCCATGAGGACTTCAACCGGAGTCGACGTCTTGGCAGGCAGAAGATCTCCAGAGTGTTGTCGGAAACGAATGGCTTTTTCTTCTACGAATCAGCGCAAGCTTTTACCAACATGGACAGAAGAGACGTGTGAGATAACTCACGATCATCCGTAAGAATCCTCTCCCTCAACTCAGCCAAAGGCGAGTCAAAGTCAGGTTTAGGAAAGGTGATCCCACTTTGTCTCTGCAAGGCCACTGCGTCGGCAGGACGAGGAGCGTTGACTTGGTGTCGAACCGGACTCTGTGCATGTCCGACGACCTTGCCTGGACTTTGGACTTTTCTCGGAGGACTGGTAGGGACTGAGGCTGTCGATCAGCATTGAATCGGAATGAAATGGTCGTGACTGACCATTCGAGACTGTCCCTTCTTGCTTCAACTCGATCTTCGGTAGAGGGTTTATGAGCATATCAATTGGCACGCTGTGTCTTTCCGGCACCACCGTCAAACTCTTCTTCTTCCCTTCCTCCGGTATCGAATCCATCGATCTCGGTCTCGGCGGTTCAGGAGCTGGACGTCCAATCTTTGATAACAAGTCACGTTGAGAGGGTTTCTTTTTGATACCTTCTAACGAACGCATCGTTCTGAGAACTGCCTCTTCTTTCGTCTTTGCCCCGGAGGCAGATGATGCGAGGGACATGGCGGAGACTCGGTGAGAAAGTTGCGCGACGGTGGTATCTTTGCTATCTCTCAACTCTGGAGTGGCTCGTGCGTCAGATGCAGCAGATGCGGGTCTGGCGGCGGTGAGCTGAGGTTGGGATGTACGAGGAGATAATCTCTTCTCGGGTACTACTGGTCAGTCACGACCCAGGCGTAACGAACGACTCACCATTCGTATCCAATTCTTTGACACGAAGTAACTGCAAGGGTTGGGCAGGTTTGGTCAATTTGGTGGCTGTCACTCAGCCTCAGTTTTGAAATATTCGACTCACGAGTAAGATCATCCTCGTGTCTTTCATTCTCACCAAGCTCTCGTCTCTGCTTCAGTCTGTTCTTCTGAGGAGATGGCGTCTGTGAGTCCCCATTATACATATTCTCCTTACCTTCCTGCAAGTTCTGACTTCTTCCCTTGGTGAGATTAGCATGCTGTTTGATACTCTCTCCCAAGGGAATAGGAGTGGCGGCTCGTGGCGCTTCTTTAGTCTTTCTCTTCTTCTTTGCATCCGCCACTGACTTGCTCTTTTCGTGTCGGGCGACAGTCGTAATGTCCTGTTTGCTTGGTGCTGGTAAAGGCTCGTCATCAAATGTCGCAGCCATACGTACGAAGTGAGGCGTGACGATGATGGATGGTGATGAAGGTTGTAGAGCGTGATGATGATACGCTTGCATCGCGGTAAGGCGGTAGGTTGGATCGGGATTTATCATTGCTCGTAAGAGTTCTTCCAAGTCTGGTGGTCAGTTCATGTACAGCTCAACGAGATCACCTTCCCTTCACTTTAAAAGGCTAGTGATGAGGGAGAAGACAACTCACCCGATGGCATGGACCAATCGCCTACCCACACACCGCGCTTGGTGCGTTCATAGTAGACGATCAACTGTTCGGGAGTGAAAAACTCTTCCTCCTCGTTCGCTTCGAAAGGAGTACGACCGATGAGGATTTCAAACATTGTTATCTGACGTCAATACCGGCTCTTTTTTGTGAATGGGTTCTTGAGGAGTACTCACCCCAAGTGACCAAACATCCGACGCACGCTCATCATGTGGCATACCCTTTGCTCTTTGCGGATCGAGGTACTATTTTGTCAATTGCGATCCAATTACACTGACTCACCTCTGGAGTTCCCCACGATATGCTACTGAGGAAACTACCCCTAGCGCCGACTTGCCACTTTTGGGCGAATCCGAAATCGACCAAGACTGGTACATCGTTGTATCCCAGAAGCACGTTGGCGGGTTTGATGTCGTTGTGGGTGATTCCCCTCTCGTGGAGGTATCCCACGGCGGAAGCGAGTTGTCGGAAGTAGGGTATAGCGATTTGTGGCGGGAGACAGACCGGAATAAGGTGAGACAGATATGGCATTATGACGCTGTGGGTGAGTTTCGGTCAACTTCATAAGGGTCACTCTCTGCCCGACTCCGCACCAAGGCAGCACGAATGTGATCGAGGACATGATAGTTCAAACCACTCACAGCGCATAACTCGGAGTGATCACAAATGCTTCAAATTGTATGATACTGGGATGAGGCTCGTGTCTCAGTCCCCGAATAATTTTCATTTCCCCCCAAAGAGCTCTGACTCTAGCAGCGGTGGTCTGATCATCAGCAAAGCTCAACTGTTCGTGCTACCAGAACACTCACCGGATCTTTACTCCTATGAACCAATTTAATAGCCACCACTCCCCTGGCTCCACCCCCATAACCCGCCGCGCTGACTTTACCAAGTTTCACACCAATATCCTTCCTCGTCAACGCACTGTCTCTGACTCTACGAGGTTGACATTTCCACACACTTCCCCAATTTCCAAATCCAATTTCATCGACAAACACAAACCTCTCGCTCAACTGTTCGTCCGACAGATGAAACACGTCCTGAGATTTTATCTCTGCCGACACGTGAGGATGTGATTCTAAAGCCATTTCCATCGTTCGAATCGGTCCGTGTCCAGCAGTAGCATGGATAGTGTCGTCCCTCTCATCCGTCGTAGGTGGTGATGGATACACCGCGTGAACCGTGTTGACGGTTTCATCGGCTAAAGTCTGAGTGGAGGGATTTGGGTGGTGAGAGAAAGCCAATGAAGCGGGTGATTGAGTAGAGTAAGAAATCACGTCGAATGCTGGTGATCGTTGAGATCGAACAGAGGAATCGTATGTGAAAGCTGAACGGGAATCCGGGCGCGAGGTGAGTGAAACAGTGCTGTTGTTGGTGTTGACGTTGGTAACTGTCGTTTGAGAGGTGTGGGTGGTGATTTGGGCGACAGGTGCTGGTGCGGGTTTAGGATGAGGTGGAGTGAGACCTAGTCGAAGACGTATCTTGGATTTAGGTTTGTACAGCGTTGGCTGCGCTGAGAGCCCGACCATGATGAAGGACACAGGGCGATGTTATACCGTATCGCGTTTGCGGTGGAGAGGTTATGGATATATTTGAAAAGAAAGTCAATCAGTGAGCAAATCAAAGTAAAGAACGTTAGATTGAGTGTCAAGAGAAGAAGAAAAGGATCGGATAGATGGAAAGGTGGAAAGACGGCCAACGTTGAGTTGAGTTGTTGGGGATAGGGGGAGCATGTTGACATGCGAGACTGAAAGGATGTGAATAGTAGATGTTTTCACTCAACCCTGCTTGTAACATCAGTATCATCCATCATCCCTTCCATCAGCACAGATCAGCAAAGTGGGCGAGCTGGTACGGTCATTATTTTAACCCCGAGCCATGTCGGGAAGTGCTAAAAGTGTGTGTGTCAGACCTCTGTGCGCTTGTGTGTGAGTATATAGCTTGGAAGAACGATAGGAGAGGAGGAAGAGGAAAGAAGGAAGAAGGTGGTGTGGACATGTTTCTGGTGGCTGGTGGGTGGGACGGGAAAAAGGGACCATCAAAACGCGTCTTGACACGGTTCCAATTGAGCACGGACCACCGCGACGCGAACATTTCCCGTGATTATGTTTCTCTTTCATCATCGCACCGCGCACCACGCACCATGATGCTACCTGTAGCATGTAGCATGTAGCATGTAGCATGTAGCATACTGTAGATGATTGAAATCAAACATCTGTAAAGTACTCACAAAATCATATACTATACCCCCACTGATGAGAGTAATCGATTATTGATTCACCGTCTTCATCAAATCTTCTGAATACCTTGCTGATCAGTCTCATCCTATGATCATTGACCATCACTCACCTATCTCCGGTCAAATCCAAACTCTCCGCAAACTTTCTAATCTCGGACTCCTCCTCATCGCTCATCTCAACCATTCCCGCACCCCAATTCTCTTCTAATCGCACTACAGATCGAGTACCAGGAATGGGTATTATCCCTTGTTTTATCACCCAAGCTAAAGCCAATTGTCCCGAGGTGCATCCTTTCTTCCCAGCGATATCACGAATGTAATTGACAAAATTGACATTCTTTTCAAAGTTTTCTTCTCCGAATCTAGGTAAAACCGCACGTGCACCTTGTTTGAGTTGATCGGGGGAAGTGAGTGTGCCTGTTAGAAGACCATGACCTAGAGGGGAATAGGCTATGATGGCTACGTTTAATTCTCGAGCGGTGGAGAGGAGATCATTGTGTTCGAGATCCAGACACCAGGCGGAATATTCGACCTGAAGTGCGTCTATATGAGTGACTAAAATCAACATCTTCATTTCTGAACTACTACTTTTGATGGTTCTTGGATATTGATACAAGACCTAACAGGAGTCAAAGTCACGAAATGTCACACGTAGAACAACGATCGAAAGAGAACAAGGTGTAGTGACTGATTGGATGGAAGGGAGAACCCACTTTGACAAGCTGAACGAAGAGTAGCAGCACTACATTCACTCAAACCTATATAGTTAAACTTTCCCTCATCCCTTAATCTAGCTAGAGTTCCTATGCTCTCTCCGAGCGAAACGGTAGGATCTCTGCGATGGAGGTAATACATATCGGGAGTAGTACCCAGTCGTTTTATCGTATTTTGTAGACTCGTCTCGATATGAGATTTGGTATTGGTGACGATAATCTTGTCATTTTGTCTCTATCCCCTTAGCAATGAAGGTCACTCTGAAAAGACTCATGTTTCCGCCAGATCCAATCAATAGTCAAAACGAGACGAAAACAGTGGCCAAGCTGATTCAACCGTGGAAGAAAGTCAAGTCACAATCCATTGATGAGCTAAGCTGACAAGATGTTGGGAGATCAAGAAACGAGGATTTCAGGATATACAGCAGGCAAGATAGCAAGGAGGGTGAATGGTGAAGAAAGGGAAAAGTCAAGAAGGGCAAAGAAAAACCCACCACAACCCCACATTTCGAAGCGACGAAAACCTTTTCCCTCAACCCCGGGTTCTCCTTGAAGAACCTTCCTATCACCAGCTCACTCTCACCTGCACCGTAGATCGATGCAGTGTCCCAAAACGTACATCCGAGATTAACGGCCTTGGTCAATAATTCGAGTGAAGATTCTTCATCCCTCAGACCAGCACCGCTGCTTGTGAGCTCGAGCTCTCCCATTGTTGCCTCTCATAATGAGAGACAGCTCTCCCTTTCTCAGGTCTGAATGTACCCACAACAGCGACTTGGGGGCAAGTGGTGAAGAGCATATATATGTAGAGTGGTAGATGTAATAGGGAGAAGACGAGATACGACACGGAAGGAAGGAACGCACCCGTAACCCGGCACGGCAACCTGAATGTTTCCAAAAGGTAATTTAGCTCCCATTCCCATTTCCCAGCTCTCTAGTGAGCTACCAGCTGCAAGAGATGGAACAGTGGTACTAGTGCTAAACACAACTTATACACATCACAGTCCAGCACGTATATACCGGAGTATGTGGAGTGACAATCCAAGCAATTGACCGACGGCCACCGATCCGATCACCGAGATTCACGGCATTTCCGGATCGGCAGACGGCTGATGGCGGACCGGTAACTAATGGTTACCTTATGGTATCCGCTATGATTTCTCAATCTAAACATGGAAGCTTTGAGATTTTCACAATCTGCCACACATGTAGATACTCTGCATCCCTCGACCTCTTCCGCAAACATCAAGAGAGATACAGGCGATAAGCGACCAATCGTTGAAATATGGAACAAAAAGGAAGATACTTACTTATATTTGTTACATAGGTGTGTTCCTCCGACGGGGGTGATCTCCCTTCTATAATTACTCCTCGAATCCTTTCATAAAAAGTACAATCTGATCTTCTCACATGTTACAAGTAGTCATATAATGATTTCTCACCTGTATCATATGTACTTTTATTTGTAACAAAACATCAATCTCCTTTCTCCTACATGATCCCTGAGGCCTTACCTGTAAGTCCGTGTGATATAAAAATCCCCATATTTCTTCTCTTTCGAATCACTTCCCATCATCACTTCTTGAATATTCTCCCTAACATGTCTTCAACGAAACATGCATTAGAAGAAACATTACTCGAATTAACCCGACAGCTTTCTTTCCGTCTCAACTTGCCACAAACTCCTACAGATACCACTCCATTACTTTCCCTAGATGCTTACCAATTCCGTGAAGATGATAAATCTCGTGAAATCTTAAAGATCGTAAATGAGAAAACAGGAATACAAATATCTTATGAAGAAAACATCCCCAGAATGAGTTTGGATATTAAAACCGATCAACTGACCCCTTCTTTGAAATCATTAGAGGAAAGTTGTAAATCCATATTCTCTTCCTTCCCCCCTCTTCCGTCTCAAAGTGAACATCCTCAACGTCAATCTTCTACTTTACCTACCCGATCGGAAAGGGTGAAAGAATCAGATATTGATAATCTACAAATCAATCAAATACTCACTGACGCGAGTTATAGATCTTTAAATCAGTGGACTACAGATTTCAATGAACTCAAGAGATGCCTCGTTCCTATTCCACCACCAGGAGCTCAAATCAATTCTGCTATCTCACTCTTAATTGAATTACAACGTTCCAAAGGTGAAGTTCTGGTAGATACATGGATGGGAAGTTATATACCTCTGGCTAGATCTTTAGCGGAAAGACAGGGTAGTTGGGATGTTGGAGTAAGTCAAAGATCGCTGGAGGTATTGACGGAAACTGAGGTGAAAAGGAGTCAAGATTGGACGGTTCATATTGAAAGTACGAGGAGGTTGAAGGACAGATGTGAAAGAAATAACATGGATTACGAACGGTTGAGAAGAGTTTCTAGTTCTTCGGTTGGACAGTTAGCAGGCTCACTCTCTGAACAAGATGAAGAAAAGGCTTTGGAATCACTCAAAAAGTTTTTAGCTGATGAGAAGGGATTATTGTCTGTGGAGGAGGTGACGATGACGACTAAGCTAGAAGATCTCACAAAGGATGAGAATCCAGAGTTTGGAGAACAAGTAGAGGGAAATCAATCAAAAGTACCATTGACAGAAAGAGGTTTCGATATATATCAAACTCGAGGGAAATATCAATTCATTCTTGATGTTTCTAATCTTGATCAATCGGAAAAACAACTCGTATTGGGATTATCTAAAAGTACTGGAATACATTTATCTTCTAATCTTCTTATATCTCAAAATCGTGTGTATAACATTTTGATCAATCTTGATAAAGATCAATTCCTTCCTTCACTTGCTCAAATCCAGACAGCTTGGAAAGCTTCTCTATTAGATCTCGCCATGCATTCAGCGACGGAACGTGTTGAAAAGGAAGATATCAATTTATACGTCAAAATGTCAGAAAAGACAATATCCATCATTGAAGAAAAAGCTTTTGAATGTTGTTCTTATTTATACCAGCTTTACTCATCCCAACTTCAACCCACGGTAGGTCACAATGTGAAGAGTGTGGAAGATAATACATTCAAAGGAATTATTGGGATAGGGAAAGAAGGTAAGAATTCAACAGAGAAGGATATCAAGAATTTGACAAGTTTGAAAATGGAGAAGAAGAATGATTCAGATCCTAGTAAATCAATATTGACCCAAATGGTAGCATTGAAATTAGTTGACATGTTTGTGAATCTTCGGGAAACAAGTCAAAAGATGAGGATGGACTTATCAGAAACTTTACGTACTTTAGGTCGACCAGTGTCTACTATCATCTCCGATATAACTGAAACTCAAACTCGATTGGATGGTGTTAATACACAAAAGAACAATAAAGTGGCTTCCGTCAAGAAAACATGTGAGGAATATCAATTGGATTTCAAAACTTTGAAGAGTATGTCGCTTAAAGAGTTAAGACAACTAATAACTCAATTTTCTACCACTACCCATCAAACGGATCAAGACAGTTTAACAATTCTGAGAAATTATCTTAAACCTCAGATAACCTTGCCTGTTTCAACGAATACTCTTACTCCTGTGACTGATCCGAGCTTGGATTCAAAGGGAGGAATCAGTTCTGCGTTGGGGGGTGAAGGGGTTGAGGAGGGAGGAAACAAGAAACGTAGGAAAAGACCGAAAAAATTGAAATTACCTTCTTGGTTAAAACAAGAATCAAGCTCGAGACCTTTATTGGATAAAGTAAGTGGGATAATCACATCAATAGAGTTTGTTTCGGATCATCCTGGTCTAGGAAGATTGAGACGATCTCGATCTTTTGATTCGTTTGATGTTGCGGACAAGGAGAACAGGGACGTTTATGAGATGGCTTTGAAATCTATTTTCGAGGTGAATGGAGAGGGTGGGCTTGAGGGAGAGGCTGATATCAATGAGGGCAAGGGTACGGAGAATATCGACTATGTCCATGAAACGAGAGAAGGGGGGATTGATGAGGGTGACGAGAAGAGCCATCAGCAAGACGAGATAACAACGAGATTGGATAAATTGGTCCAGATCCAAGAGACCACTCGTTCGAACACACGTCTGGCTGATAAGAAATCCCAATCGGAATGGCTCGATAATGTTTTGGAAAGCAAAATTCCGTTGACGGAGTTAATGAAGACATTGGATGGTTGGAATTCCGTTGCTCGGGGTCAGGCGGTGAGCCAATTTGAGACCATAAGAGAAGGGAGGATAGATTAGGCGGACTTGTGTTGACTTTGGAGATCCCGAAATGATCCCGAATCTTGTTCCGATAAGGTTAATGAAGATTATAGTTAGTTGTGTACATGAAGAGACATGAATGTGAATGTGTCTTTTGAACTCTTTGTAACCCAAAGGCCAGTACTTCGCGTTTGTCTTAGCTTATGGTGGATCATCAAGTAGACTGCCGTAAGTGACAAAACGATTCCGGACCAGTGAAGAAACATGAGAGAATTTTTATTGTGACTTGAAAGCTAGCACAGTCGATACAGGATGAGAAACAATCAGTAGAGTCAGCAAAAATGCAATGAAGTAATGATTTTCTCTAACCCCAACCAATCTCCCACCACCAATACCCATCTCCTTCATCTACCCTCCCTTCACCTTTCCTACCTTTTTTACTCTTCTTACCATCTCCTCTTACGCCCAATCTGAGACCTTGAGTAGAACCGAGACCTTCTCCATCGCGTTGATCATTTGTCGATGGCTGACGGAGAGAAAGAGGCGGATAAGAGGATAAAAGAGGAAATGTATCATCTATACTTTGAAGTTCAGGACCGAAAGTTGGACGTAAGGGAGAAAGGAGATGCTATATGTTAGTCGCATGTATGACTAGCACTTCACGGATGACTATTGTTTTGACGACGTATTATATTTGGGGCGAAAGATAGTGACTCAACTGATGATGGGGTAACAACAGGTGCTCCGATATTTCTGGGATTGGTTTGGACAGACTTGGATAGGAGGAATATATATTCCAACTCACAAATGTCCCTCCTTCATCTCCTCCCTCCGGTAACCTCAAAACCCATCCTACAACTTCCCTCAATAACCTCGCATGGGTAGTATCATACACACAATCCGAAGCAAGGACCAAATCGAACGGCTTACCCATATATCTAGACATTTCTTCCCCTCCGTCATTCAAGTTAGCGAGTGCGGGTGATTTGAGAGAGGCCATGTATCTGGGGAAAGTCGTCCAGTCTAATTTAGCGATATGAATCCCTGTATCGGCCGAAATGTCGGTAGTACTCTTTACAACTTTTGGACTTGAAGGCGATAATGGCTGGTGACGTCCTGAGAAGCCGCATCGGTTGATCTGGTCATAATCTCGGTCTCGAGCTGAGCTTCCTGGGCATTTTATACGATTCGAGTTGATGGGAATTGCCAAACTACCCGGAAGATTTGAGGGGTCATGGACAACAGTGACAGGGGGAAAGTTGAGATCCACACAAACCCTCAAGTTCTCCAATACCTCAGGAAGGAAATCCGTAGCTACCACCAAACCCTCTCTCCTGTCTTCGTCCCTCTCTTTAACCCCATCACAATTAGAGTGATGCGCTAAATCTTCCTTCTCGATGTTGTACGAGCGTAGGTCTAACAACTTCCGACAAAGGATGGATAACAACCCCGTCCCTGCTCCCAACTCTAATACCCTGATACCCTCTGAGGAATCTCTGAACAGTTCAAATCTCTCCGGATCCAAGGCTATCTCTCGTCCTAAGAGGATAGCCGAACCCCACGTTTGTACACCAACGGATAAATGATCCGTCATAGGTGCATCATGGAGGAGTATAGGGATCGCAGTTCTTTTTCTCCTGCGCAATGGCCGACTATTAGGTGACAGGGAGAGAGAACGAGATGATCCTGATTGAAAAGAGATACGACGGTTTCTTAAGGAGCTGGGAGAGGTTGAGGGTTGAATGCGAGATGGAGGATCTCGAGGAAAGTTAGAAATTGATTTGGTTGGTGAGTAAGACAAGGATAAGGAAGAGAGAAAAGTGTTCGTTTCGGGTGAATATGAAGAGTTTTGAAGATTGGATCGAATGGAGGGGATGGTTTTGGATAAGGAAGGATGAACGGGGAAGAGAAGATGACGGGTTAGAGAACCGGCAGCTGAGGTGTGAGCTTATCGACTTTAGACTCCATGTTTTCCTGAAGAGATGGAGGTCACATGCCTTTGATTCATTACGGTCTGACGAGGATAAGAAAGAACATGTACCGATGTCATTTACACTGGTGAAGGTGTGTCAATGACGATGAGCAAAGACGAGGAGTGAAGAGAGAGGAACCCACCACTCGTCCCTGCCATCATGGCCAAAACAGCGACAGACTCCCTCAGAACCATTTCATATTCCCTCGTGTCCATACTCGTTTCACTTTCATGATCCTCCAACCAGGTCTGAGAGCGACGTACAACCCCAGAAAGCCATCTCTCCGCCCAATCCCTCTCGAAATTGTCTAAATGTCCAGTGAAAGGATCCTCCTCCTCCTCCTCTTCTGAATCATCATAAAGACCTTCCTCATCTTCTGGGTCTTGCGTATCTGGAGAATCGTTAAGGTGATCACATCCGACTTCCTCCGAATCAGAGCCCCTGCCAGAATGCCCCGGACCGGAGGGAATATCCAGACCCAGTCCACTCATCGCAGGGCTGAACCGACGTTCTCGTGTCATCCGCAGCTCATTAGGTAGACCGTAAGTAGCGATGGAGGATGTGGGAATGCCGCCATGTACTGGTGGGAGGTAGAGCTGTCGAAGGAGTACTATATGTGGGATGAGATCAGAGGGAAGAAGAGGGTGGAGGGAGGTAAGGGAGCGAGGGAGAGGGGGTAAGAAAGTAGTGGGTAGGAGGTCTCCATTGGGAGGATTAGAGACCTCCATCTTTAATGCGTGGCCCAGAAGGGGCGGGAAAGATGACTTAGTAGGGGATGAAGAGCGAAGGTTATGATAAGTAACTTAGTGGTGAGGTCGGGAATCTCAAACTTTTTTTCGATCGAAAGTGGAGGGAGGTGTGTATATTGATGAACATATATGTTATGCTTCAAGGCTGACCATGCTATCAGAATAGAATATACCAGCCTGTGTCGACTAATTATGATCGTGTCGGTCATACATATCATCATGGTAAGACACACTATGACTTATTCCTCTATCACACGTTTCCGCTTCTTACCCTTCTTGTGTCCCTCCAACTCTGCATGTCCATCCCCTTTCCGTCGCTTCTTCTTTGACACATTGATCTTTTCCTTACCATCTGTGGTTTCAACAGCTTCCTCTTCCTTCGCCTTCCGTTTTCTGCTCTTGCTCGATGACATGATGCTCGAATCCTTCACGGGGACCTCGAGAGCCGAAGCCAACAAAGCTTTTGCAGCCTTCTCAGCTTTCCGTTTCGCCTTTGCATCTTTCCTCATCTTCTTCTCCTCTTTACTCTCATCACCAGCTTTGATCTCCTTCCCTTTTCTCTTTTTACTCTCTTTTTCCCCATCTGCCAGCGCTCCTCGTTCCTGTCTCAGACTCTCGATCTCCATCGAGGCAGGAGGTCCGGTGGTATCAATTTGCTCAGAGCTGTCCTCCTCGAGATCCTCGGATTCTTCTAAAAATACAGCCCCTCTCAAGAACCGCGAATACAGACCCCGTCTGGCAACTTCTCTCCCAGCCAGAACCGATATGGGTAAAGTGGAGGTAGTATGAGTTTGCCATGACGTATTTTTGACTATCTGTGTTTTGGACGATGAAGGGATTGTGATAGGTGTGGAAGTGCCGGAATTAGGTAGGGAGAGGGAAGCAGCTGTAGATGCAAAGATACTATCTATCAGTTCTCATCTCGTTGTAATTGTATCAATCGTATAAATCAGCCATCGAGTGATGAAAAGCTTGGGGGGTCATAATTTGTAGGACAGGGGGAGAGAGTTAGGGAAGGGTAAGAAAGAACATACTGGTCCCAAAACGGTACAGCTTCATCTCTATCTTTTCCAACACCTGAAAGAGTCTTCTTCTGTACTATAGCTAATGGCCTTGTGGCATGACCATGCTTGAGTGCTGAGTGTGAGTGTTGCCCTGACGTACCGAACTCCCACCGAACAAAGTCGAATAATACGATCTCTTCGATGTGTGAGTATGCAATCTGTGAAAAAAAGCTTACCTGTTCCTTTCCCTTTCCATCCGTGCTTATGAAGATGAGCCGCGGGGTCAAACTTCTGCTTGGTTGTTGTTCCTACCATCTATGTATGTAGTCCGATTCCAAAAGGTCGCCAAGGGACGAAAGCAAGGAAAGCCAAAATTAGTGAGACTGACATTGGCCTCCGAACCGCCTGAGAGGACCAATGTTCAATGTCAGGTACACCTCCTTCGCAACCGTCGAGGTCTGGATGCCCCAACTTTCCTTCCTATCATCAGCCAACATTATGGCCCCTATAGAAGCATCTACTTCTCAGCCTCAAACGGCCCACATCACCGAAGGTAAGCATCTATCTTATTACCGCGGTGACCCTTCCTGACTCTCAGATGAAGCATCTCTCTATGACCGTCAAATTCGTCTTTGGGGTCTTGAAGCGCAGAACCGGTGAGTTTTCTTTGTCTTTTCCACTCTAATCACAAGTCATACTGCGTCCGTATGTCCACCGGTCAGACCAAATGTTACTGATTCAACCGAAACGTCCTGACAGATGCTGAAGCGAAACAACGGACAAGAGCAAACGGAGTATGTACTAACCCCTCAGAATGCGCAGCTCCACCGTGCTCCTCTTATCCCTACGTTCGGTGGCTCACGAGACTATCAAAAATCTCGTCTTAGCTGGGATAGGTCGATTGATTATCATGGATGACGGAGTGGTCACTCCTGAAGACCTCGGAGGGGGTTTCTTGTTTCGAGAAGAAGACGGAGCGGTGGGGAAGTTGGTATGTTTTTCCTTTGTCTAGTTGACACCACCCAGCAGTCCTTCGTATTCATCACACAAGTGTGACAAGGGAAAAGCCCCTTCGTTTCTGACCTATGAGTATAGATTCGCCGACTTGTGCTGATTGGAAGAGGACAGAAGCGTCTTCACCGCAGATTGCCTCGCTCAACCCTTTGGTAGCCCTCACGGCTGTGCCTACCCTCGCTCCTTTCATCAGGAATTCTCAGACGGCAGGTGCCAAGGTGGACAGTGAAGAAGAGATGGTGGAGTACTTGCAAAGAGAAAAGGTTGATGTGGTCGTATGTTGCGATATGACTTCGGAGGAGGTTGTGAGTTGTTTATCTTAGCTTCTTTGTTTTTACTCGTAATGACCGCCCTCTCCCCACCATCCACTTTCCTTCCTCTCTTCTCGCTACCTCCTTCTCAAACTGACGCCCTCACGTATCGACTCGATCACCCGGCTGTTCAGCCATACTACGCTCCATGGACGCTCAAAGAGACATCATTCTTGACGACTTGAGAGTCTGCTTTGGCTAACTTCTAGCTTCGGATAGATGCTGCTGCGAGAAACGCCGGAGTCATGTTCTATGCAGCTGGATCATTCGGATTCTATGGATATGTATTTGCGGATCTTGGAGATTCTTATGAATACGTTTTCACGTGAGTTCTGATTCTCCTCCCTACACAATTTAATTCTCCTTTCTCACATCATCGAGACATCGCTGTCTGATCATTGTGGGACATACCCATCCTAGTTGCATCCATCCACAAGTCGATGGAAACTGACACACAGACCCCCTTCCAACCCCTCCAACCCTCCCCCGTCTCTTCAAAAGAAACTCTCTAGGTATTCCCCCTTCTCCCGTGTTCTCGATCGTTCTCAATGGCATCTCCCCCATACATCCGGAGCCAAAGGTGGTAGTCCCTATCGCGGTTTGACTCGAAGTGTGACCAAAGATCGTACTCCCGGTCCTACTTTGGGATTACTGGGTGAGATCATAATTTCTTACATGTCCAGAGCTGATAATTAGCTTTGTGGGAGTTGGAGAAGGTACATGGACGGTTGCCCCTTCCTGAAGACTCGGAAGAGATGAGGGATGTCGCTGAGGGGTCAAGAAGAGATTTGGGGGTGAACGAGAAAGCTTTACCTGGTGTTGAAGGGGGTATGATCGAGTGAGTCGGAATTTTCCTCCAAGTTAGCTTCCTACACTCTTCCTCTCATTTTTCACGTCATTATCTTGTCTCCTATCCTTCCTTCCTTCACTGTACTGCACGTTGAAAATTGAATGAAAGATTTAATGGAGATTCCTGTATGGGTCGGATCCAAAGTCCGAACGATCAAGTAGGAAAACAAAACATGACTAACTACAGACATCTGACTCAACACGCAGCTCATTTCTTCCCTCCAACATTAGCCATCTTGGGTGGTTTACTAGCTCAAGACGTACTCCGCGCGTTGAGTAAAAAAGATAAACCTATCGTCAATCTTCTAGTCCTAGATTCGATGGGTGGAACGGCCAACGTCAGTAGATGGGCAATGGACGATGCCGTGGATGCGTAGAACAGAATATCTCAGAGAAATCACCTATCATCGTTCGCCAAGCATCAAGCATCAATATCGTCATATGCATGTGATTATCTACCGAACTCATTCCCAGCGCTGTGATGCGATCCGTATCCCCGTTGATACAGTGCGAGTAGCACTCGAGTACTTCAACGTGGACGGTGAGATGATCATCGATCGGCTAACGGACCATCGGGAAATGATCATGTGGAGGGTTGTGAGACCATACGAGCCATATATGTGATGTGGATATGAATCATTGAGCCATGACTGCAGACTCATATCCGAGGTCATGTCGTTGCTCTGTCCTTCAGAGATAACAGGACACATGTGATGGTCATGAAGTATTTGGCTTGACAGAAGTCTCACTTCCTTGTATTCGCCTAAAACGTCAACATTTCTCTCAACTACACAACTCCACGACGAAACGTTTCGATTGATGAAACCTTCAATCTGGGTAATGTAGAGGACACTGAGAAAGGAGGTGTGATAGATGGATTTTGAAAGATTTTGAGATGTCAATTGGAAAGTGGGAATGGATAGAAAGATTTACCAAGTTTCATGATGACTCTGAGCTATTCGAGTGAGGTCAGCTACGAAGGCCGGATCGGAAAGACGGGATCGGAATAGGGGTTGTTGTAGTAATGTTAAGTAGACCAAGCTGGTGGGGTATCTAGGTGTCAGAGAAATGTCGCAGAACTTGGAGCAATCTACACGTCCATTTCTACGTCCCTTACGAGGGAGATTCGATCTCATCTTAGTAGAATGTACTCCATATCTCGATATGTGGGGACTTCATAAGGTGGATGATGTTGGAGTGTTGGAGGTGTGATATCCATGTGATTCAGTCGGTGAAGAAGGCAGGAGGTCGTACTGTGGGAAGAGTGAGGTGTTAAGCTGGCATTAAAGCGACAACGGGATAGCTAATGTGACGAGAAGAGGGGTGGAGGTTAGTCATGGAGACAGATGAGGGAAATTCGAAAAGCAAAGAAAAGGGGACGAGAAGAATAGTCGAGGACAGAGAAGAAGGGCGAGGCTTGAGGGACAGAAGAAATAGACGATAAATAGGGCAATAAAGTGGGACAGAAGGAAGAGAGGGGAGAAACATCTCACTCACACAATAAACCTGACATATTCCGGTTTTCTCCAATATTCCAGATACTTTAGATAATTCAGAAACTCCGGTTTCGATAAATATCCTTGAGTATGAAGTCCTCTCAAATATGAAGGATTAGATAGACATTGTATGAACTTTTCATCAGCTGATCATACTTGATTTGTCTTTGATTACATCTTGTCAAAAGCATTCGAGTAGATTTGTAGCTTATGACATGATTGTGGAGGAAGAGAAGTATTGAAGTTCAGTTGTACTCACCTCAAGTTCGGACTGAAATCGGACCAGATTGTCGTGTTTCTCTTTTGACCTTTGCGGGGGTTCTGACCCGTCTATAGTGGGAGGAGGTAGAATAGTAGGGAGTTGTTGCATTGGATTGACTTTACTTCTCTCGTCTTCCTGGCCTTTCAAGCACACAGAGTACGAGTTAAGTATACCAGGAAGTTATCAAGAAGGCACTGAGTGGACGGTGGTGGGTGGGGGAGGTCAACTTTCCCACGGTGGATCATGTGCCTGAGAAACCTGGTCTAGAATTTTGAAAGTCCCATATCCTAACTTTCATACTTGTGATATTGAGCTCTACATAACTAGAGAAATGGTGGTGAGTGAATTGAGAAGATCGAGGAGGGAAAGAGTAAGAATTATGAGGCTAACAAATAGGACAAAATGCAAGTTGATACCTCTGGTCAACCGTCCAGTAGCAATGTTAGACAACTCCCGATAAATTTGTTCACTCGATCAACGAAACATGCTATCCCACAATCTACTTATTTGATACCTGGTTCTTGGAGACGGTATCAACTTTCGGAACTGATTAATAAAGTGGGTCATCTTCTTTTCTTGAAATATCACAAAATATGAACAGTGGTATGTTGAACAACCCTCAATGAAGACACACAAAGTCAGAATTGAAGTTGAGAGATGATTTACGAACATCACGATTACTTGGAAGGCTGTGAAAGATTGAGACTCGGTTGATTTGAGTTGAATGCTGATGGTAGGTTTTGAAACAAGATAACGAAGGAAAACAACCTGTCCCCTTCGAATTCATAGTCGAAGGTGAAGTCCTTCGTGGGAGTCTGGAAGCATGGATCAAAAGTCGAGGTAGGGATGAAGAGACGGTGGTGAATGTTGAATATATGGAAAGTGTCTTACCTCCGAAACAAGAAGGAACTTTTGAGCAAGAGGATTGGGTTTCAGGTTTATCTCTGAGTCGACCGGGGTGAGTGACTCAAAGCTTTCCTACTACTGTTATGAGGTTGAGTAGTCCTGCGAAAGGATCAGGAGACTAGTGGGATAAGAGTGATGAACGAGAATGATAGCTAATTCACAGTTTCATCTTGGTCTCCTCATACCTCTCTCATCTTCGAATCCTACCCCTAACAGGTCAACCTCTTTATACCCTTCCCTTACCTACCGCCCTCGGTGCATCATGCTGCACTTGGATCTCCCCTCCGTCAATAACGAAAGATATACTACTCGCTGCTGGCGGTATAGATCGTTCAATCCATGTATTCTCTCTCCCTTCTTTAACCCCAAACACCTCCACCCCGCCATCTCCTCCACAAGAGATTTACACGTTAATGGGTCATACAGCACCTATCTCCTCTTTGACAGTTTCCAAATCATCCAAAGAACTCATCTCCGCTTCTTGGGATGGTAACCTTCATCTTTATTCTCTACCTTCAAGATTGGAAGAAATACATCAAATCCCCGCAGAACCAACAAATTATCTTCCCGGACAAAAGAGGAGGAAGAAATTAGGTGAAGTACGTGGTCCCGTGGAAGGTCTCACAGATGGTGATATAGGCCAAACGGGCTGGAGAAGAGCTCCAGATGGAATGATGAGAGGTCATAAAGGTCGTATCGGTGGTGTGGTGTATGATAAAGGATCAGAAGGGAGAGTGTGGAGTTCAGGATGGGATGGTAGTGTTAGAGGTTGGGAAGTTGAAACTGGTGTTTGTGTGACGTTGAGACAAGGTCCGAGTGATAAAGCTGCGTTATGTGTGGATCAATTTGGAGGGAATGGGGTGATTGTCACGGGAAATATGGATAGGACTGTTTGTTTGTGGGATACTAGACAAGGTGGGTGGTCTTTGTTCCTCATACTCTCCAGTCCCGTCCCTTCATCCTTACCGTCTCTCAAGTCATCACAATGTATTCACTAAGCTCTCGATTCTCATATCTGTTACCAATCAACGCGCATAGCCTTTTCTTCGAGTGACAACGATGTCATCTGATGAGTACCTACTTATTTGAAACGAAGACGTCATGGGAGAGGATGTCACAATGTGGAGTTTGTCACAGATGATCCTCAGCAAGGAACAACACGCTGACTTATAGGAACATCCCTCATCTCACAAACCCTCCATACATCCTCTCCAGTCCCTTCACTCCGTACTCACCCTACATCATCCTATACCCTCTCAGCAATCACTTACTCTGGTCAGATCCAAATTTGGGATATCCGATCACCCAAAAACGCCTTGTTCGCAGTCCAGAAATCACCTCCGAAACGTAAAGTCACGAAGAATGGCAAGGTTTTGGGCGAAAGGTTGCTGGCTATGGATTGGGATGGGGAGGTTGTCGTGGCTGGCGGAGAGGATGGTGAGGTAGGTGTTTGGCGTGCGAGGGGGGAGTAGGGGTTGGAGGAAGTCACATTTTCTCTTCGCTTTTCTTCTCACTCTCACTCGTCGCAAGTGCTCCTGTGCTGTTTTGAAATGTGTTTAGGGTGATTAATCTCCTCTCGTATACCTGACTTTTCATCTTCTGCTTTCTCATGTCATATGCATCTTCGAGACATTGCAAATACCAACGATGACCTTTTCAGCTCATAGCTTCTGTGTCTACTTCCCCTTACCACCCCTTCTCTGACAGTCGCATAACGCTACCCATCCACATCATCACTCCCGTCTTCAGTATGTATCTCTCTTCGGTTGAGCACCTCCTTGCTTGAAGTATAATTCATGTATCTCACCAATTCCACATCTATCTAACTCACTTTTCAACTGGACGTGTAGAACACACATGAAACTCGGGATAAAACATCCAAAACTCCCCGAAATAATACCCCTCCCTCTATCACATCCCTGAACTTCCCTCAACCTCCTCCAGTCCCAACGCCGACGACCAGATCCAGTAACTAGACCCAATAAACAAAACTCCTACGAAAAATGTTCGCAGCCAAAGTAACAGACGAATCAGAAGAGATTCAAGCGGAAATAGGATTATCTTCCCTTTCACCCAAAAAATCAGAAATGGAAAATGTCACATCTTCAACACTATTACCTTCTATCTCACCTACCAATATCAACGGAAATGGCGAGAGTTCATCTCCCAACAAAGTCAATGGAAATGAAGAGACGGATGAGAAAGATCAAGATATGAAAGAGAAAGATAAAGATAAAGAAGAAGAAGAAGAGGAAGAGGATCCTGATAAAATACCAACGAACGCTTGTGAGACTTTATATTTACAGAATTTGAATGAAAAAGTTAGATTACCAGGTGGGTTTTCCTTATGTGTTCATACCCTCATCTTTATATGACGCCTATCATTTATAACTTCATCTCATTTATCTTCTTCCTTCTTCCGATCTATATCACCTTCCAAACCATTGCTCAACTCTTGACACTTCTCTACATGATTTTAGATGTGTCCTCTGAAAGTATCACCGATGACTCGCCCTATCTGCCGAGCAACTCACACGGGAGACCTACCATGTTGTCACATGAACTTCTATGGCGTCGTACTATCACATTGAGGTAATTGGAAATGTTAGAGAAGGATATGAAAGGAAAAAGAGGGTTTTTGCTCACAAGCAGTAATGAAAGAAACACTTGGAGTTTTGTTCAAACCTTATCGTCCTATCTTACCCGTCGTAGCACATCGAAACGTTCGTATGAGAGGTCAAGCGTTTGTGACTTTTCATGATGTCGAAACTGCCAATAGGGCTAGGAGAGAGGTTGGAGAATTTCCTTTGTATGGGAAACCCATAGTGAGTTTTTGGAGAACTCTCAACAATGTCAAATTATCATTTCCTATCCCAATCGTCAACGGCATTTCCCCGTCTTAGGGCTGTACACTATTTCTTCAGTCTTTCTATTTGATCCAGAGCTCCGTCGTGTTGAAATTCTGTCTCTAAACCATGTAAAGCTCTCGGAGAGAAAGGTGGAATCATGGGCATATATACAAGTCGGATTCTGTGGAATAATGATCGCATAACGTCGGGACAGAATCAGTGTGAGATGTACATTTGGGAAGGTAAGGGAAAGTAAGGGAAATTGACCTTTAGCAAATAAAATTCGCAAAGTCTAGATCGGATTCAGCCGTGGTGAAGTTAGAAGGTGAGGAAGCTTTGGAAGAACATAAAAAAGAGAGATTAGAACAGAAAAGTGAGGGTCTTTCCATTCTTTCTTTTCCCCCGACCTTTACCCCTTCTTCCATATACTTACCTCGCCCAGTTTTGACACTTGTGAGAATTACCCTCGTGCATATCCATACAGATTCATGGGAATTTACGAGGGATGAAACAGATGTGTGTTCGTGTGTTCTTGCTGACGAGTTAGAACGATCACGAAGAGATAATCCATTGAGAAGAAAAGCAGCTGCTAAACTACGTGCTGGTCTAGGTAAGCTGTTGTTTTCTCTGATACCTTTTCTCCTCTCTTCTCTATCGTATTTCACCTTATATGTCGTATCTCACCCTACATGCCGTATTTCACCCTACATGTCGTATTTCACCCTATATTATCGCCTCAACCGTCCCTCTCTATACATCCCTTCGAATTCACCAGAAGTCTCATTTTCCTCTTTGGGGACAGAACGAACGACGGATAAACGTCCTTTGTTCTTGTTCTCCTTCCGCGTAGTGAGAATTCAACAAGAAGAGTACTAACGACTCAGACACAGAAGGTGGTCCAGCTCCAGTCAAAAGACAAAAGATTCAAATGCCCGACGAATATCTTCCACCTAATAACGTCCTGTTCGTACAAAACTTACCAGAAGGTACTGAAGCAGATGAGCTTCGTGAGGTTTTCGGAACGTCAGTGTTGTTTTTCGTCCCGTCTGACTCCCTCGCACATCCATCCTTTCTTCTCATATTGTTTCCTCTACAAAATTGAGTCATCTCTTCATCGAGTACTCGAACGGCTCAAGCTTGGCTGGTCGGAGCTATGTCGACGATCATCATTTGTCATCAAGAGTCAACGTAGATTGTCGTCCAAATCCGAGTTTGACTTGAGACGAGTCGTACTTGGAGGTCTGACGTTGAAATAAGATGGGTCGTACATATACTTTAGATCCAACGTGGGAATAAAGATAAAGGAGGAAAAGGAATTCAAACTCATGAACAGTCATCCTGGTTTGGTCGAAATACGTACCATCCCAGCTAAAAAAGATATCGCTTTTGTGGAATATACAGACGAAGCTTGTGCAGGTTTAGCAAAAACGGCATTACATAATTTCAAAATTGATGGGGAAACAAAGATGAAAGTCACTTATGCTAGGAAGTGATATAAATTTGAGTGATTGTATATCATTTTCGTATAAGAATAGTTTTTTTCAGGAAGGTCGTGTATGCACAAAAACATGTTTTCTTTCCTGATAGATTGATCTCTCACTCTCACTCTTACTCGGTAGTCTCATTCCTTGTGATTGACTTGTCACTTGTGATAGTTTATCACCCCCTTCCCATTCCCATTTCCAACTGTCCCGCCAGATCTACATATGTACTGTATTGCAAACAGATTTCCCATTCATACGAATAGGTAGGTGGGTACGATCCCTAAGTCGGAGAAACGCATTCATTGGCTATTGGACCTGTGCCAAAAGATGATGATCATCCTACTTGTTTCGAAAAGGCAAGATGAAAAGGGAAGATTCAGAGGGACAAAGTATAAACATGCATTGTTGACAATTGATATATACATTATGAACTAAACAATGAGAGGAGATCCAAGTGAGTGAAAAAAGTGAAGAAATTTCGTCATTTCGTTGAAAGGCGTAAAGTTTAAAAACAAGAAAAAAGGTTTCTTGTCTTAACCTAATCTACTGGCTCGGAAAACTGATTGAGTGGCGATCCTTCTTGCCTAGTATATCAGCTTTAGTTCTGATCACTCATCTTTGAGACCATTCAGATGACTCTCTTAACCTGTTTACAACTCCTCGACCTCTTCTGCATTATGGGCTTAATCTTCTTGACGATTTAAACAAAGTTGGTCACCACACTCTCGTCGATTTCCCTACGCCTCTCAAAAAAAGGTGGAAGTTGGGATTGAGTGACGAGAGGGAATAAATCCTTTGAGATATGTACACCACCACTCACTTGATCCAAAGAAATAGATTCCATTTTCAACCTCGCCTCTTTCCCATCATCTTCATCTTCCTCTTCTTCTTCTCTATTTCTCATCCCACCAAAAGATGAAGTTCCAGCCGAACCAAACATTCCCCCTCCTGGTCCAGTAGCCAAAACAGGTGCTCCAAATACTGACAGCGGGGTACTTCCAGAAGAAGCAGCACCGAAAGGTTTGAAATCACTCACCACCCTCCGACTGGGACTGGCGGTGGGTGGACTCATCGGTGGGGACATCGGTTTTAATGGATGAGTAGGTGAAGAGGGAGTGGGAGGAGCATGAGATGCTGAAACACGTCTTGGTGGTAATCGTCCACCTGGAGTATAAGAAAAATGATGAAATGCGTTTGAACGGAATTTATCAGTTAATCTTTTACCTGGCACATCGAGGATATTGGGTACTGCGTCGGAAACGTATTGTGCTGACATCCATGTTGATACGTTTTTCTTGGCGTTTTCGTGTGGGACGTAAACTTCGGGTAGAGAAACTTGTTTGGTTTGTTCGTTACGTAGCAATAGACGTTCGTGAAGTTCCCTATGGGTCAATGGAGTTCAAAAATAACTACGTCCCGATATTCATTGATAGCCGGGGCGGGTGTGGGAGTGGCAAGCTTCGATTTTGAGGATACAGAAGAACACTCACTGTGCAACTTGTTCCACACTTTCCATAGTCTCGCCTCTCATTCTCACACGCTGAGCGACCTCTGCTCCAACCTCTATACTAGATCAGCTGTTTAATTGAATGTCCTCAGGCAGCTGACATACCCTCTATCAACCTCTCCATGTCCATATTCTCCAACACACTACCGACAATGGTCATGGCTAAAAGATCCGCTGTCGTCAGAGGCAACATGAGCCCTGAGGTCATGTTACATATAGCTGTGAAAAAGTCGACTGCGTGCTAGTTGTAAGCTTTCCACCATGTTTATTCCGTCAGCTTACATGATAATTTGATAAAGTATCTTCGCAGGCTACCATGAACTGCCGCTGTCAGCGCTGTTTCCATCTTATGTACATTGAGGGCCCACCAGAGTGATGCCGTGTTGCGCCATGTATCTCGCAATTACCAACGGATCATGTCCATCTGGATCACCAACTTTGATTTCTACCCATATCAGCTATGAGACTAGAGGAATAGTTGACACTACTCACGATCTCCGCTTTCTCCTATACCTTTGCTGGTCAGCGTGGCTTCGCCTCTACACAAAGGACGACATACCGTGCGGTGGAGCGTCGGCAATCAACACGACCATTTTAGATGCTTCTCTTCTCCACTCCAGCTCGGTGAGTACAGCTGCCATTCCTGCTGTTACGGCCTCTGGACCATCTCCTCCTCCGGACGCTACTGATGTCAGCGTAAATCAGAGTAAACTCAAATGAGCTGACCTGTAAGCCCACGGATGTACCGTTGGACGGAAGGAATATCCGAAGTGAAGGGATGGAATTGATACACGTAAGAAGAATCTTGAGGTGGATGATCGCGATAATTGACCACCTACGATATCAGTGAGTTGAATGTTTCAAAAATGTTTGCAAACTCACCGCGACTCGTAAATCATCCGGTCCATTGAGACCTTCCTCCCCTCTGATCATATCGCATATCCCTATGATATGATCCCTGACGCTATCAATATACCTCTGCATCGACCCTGTGCAATCCAGAATGAAGGCCAAGTCTCTATTCAAGTCAGCTTTGCCCGGGTCACCGGGACGACCAAACTCACATGCATTTACCAGTCCGCATACCGTCCGAAGGTAGGTAACGGATGTCATAATGTGTGATAGGATCGGGTTTCGGTGGAGAGTACGCTGGAGACCTTCGAGAGTACCAAGAAGAGTAAGTCGAATGGGAGTCATCCGACATGTCATCGTCCATTTCGTCAGACATGCGATGGAAAGGTGGATGGGGTTGAAAGCGTGACGGCGTGAATGGAAGGGATCAATCGGATAGGGGAGTCGTACAGACTATCAAAAGCTGTGTTGAGGGAAAGATCTGCCAATGTATATGAGTGGTAAAGATATCAATTGATGTAGATGAACATTGGATGGGGGAATGAAAAGAGAGTTGAATAGGAAGAGACAAAAGGGGGTTAATGGTACAAAACGCTCGTGCATAACGGGGGGGGGGAAGGGGGGCAAAGATGACGTGGGTATCATAAAGCGGCGATGGCCGTTAATGAGGGGGTCGTGCTTCAACCCGCGTCAACACCCAAAGTCAAAAGTCATAGAATAACCCCTCTTAGCAACAACATGTTCATTCCTCTATCACTCACCATCCCTCCCTCTCCACCTGTTTAGACGTCCCGCAATTACAGCTGAACCATTGTTAGTATCCAAGGATTCGACTCCTTGACTTTTGCTCCAAAGACGCCGGTCGCAATCATCTCACTGGGGGGCTTGCAGATCTTGAGGTAGGTTACTCATCTACCACCTTGATAACCTATTCTCACTTGTACAGCTTCTCACAATGTCCCGGTTACCACAAATATCCACCCCTGGACGCCTTGGTACCCCTTCCACCCCTGGTGGCGGTACAGGTATCCCCACTCCTTCCCATCGCCGCCCCCGTTCCTCGCTCGGTCCTCAGGCAACTCCTCTACAATTCACAGACGACATGGATGCGGCGCTACAAGAAGCTCTTCGAAATCGACCGCCTTCATCTCTCAAAGGCAAGTATGGTCATCACGATGATCCTGATACTCCCACTCAATCAGGATTCCTTCATCCCGGTAACGCCGGAATGCCCGCCCCTAGAACTCCTGGTGTAAAACCAAAGGTCTCCTCCTCCCTGGGTCTTGGACATGCTCCGACGACGCCAGGAGCTTCCAGATCGGTCTCAAGACCTTCAATCTCTAGTAGATCATCTCTTTCAGCCTCCACAGCGGGAAGTCATTTCATCACTCCCCGTCGACCCTCCATGGCTAGCTCCACTACTTCCGCCACACCCCATGCCAGAAGACCAGAATCCAGAGCCAGCAATGCGTTTGACTCTATCAGATTCGCACCGGTCATCGGAGATAGAGTCAGAATGAGCGGTGTCGGTATGGAAGGGACTTTGAGATTCCTAGGACCGACACAGTTCAAGGAAGGCGTTTGGGCAGGTGTCGAGTTGGAAGGTGGTTTCGCGGGGAAAGGGAAAAACGATGGTAGTGTCAACGGGTGGGCTTTCCACTGCCTGACAGTAATGTACAAGCTCATGAGTTAGTGTCGAATACTTTCAATGTTCGCCTAATTGTGGAATGTTTGTACTCGCTTCCAAACTCGCCCCTCCCACGTCAGGACCATCCCGTCCAGCGTCCGTTGCCTCTTCTCATCACTCCATGGTGTCCTCCACAGCTTACTCCTTGAATGGAAGGGCGACCCCCTCTGGTCGCAATTCCGCTTTGGGTCAGAGGCCCGCCACAACTACCCCAGGACGAGCCACACGTTCAGTCTCGCGTCCTTTCAAAACCATGACGGTGGAGGAAGAAATGCCTCAACGCACATTGCTAGGCAACAGTACCTCTTCTAATCTGCTGAACGGAAAGATTACCGCCGGGTCCAGAGCGGCCAAGTATGTGGGTATGACAGCGAAACAACTTGATTCTGCCCGTGCTGGTACTCTATCCGCCTCTGTCCGAGGCTTAACCGCGAGTAATGTCACCCCTAAAGCTTCTCGAGTATCTGGTGTGGGTGTCACTCCTGCTAGAGCAGGGAGACAAAGCCTGGGAGGAGCGAACATGGCCACGCCCAAGGCTAGAGTACCACGGGGAAGTACGATCGGAGAGATGATGCCTCCTCCTCCTTCCCCTAGCAACATCACTCGAGTCGTTCAAGCCCATCAGGTTCAGCTAGAGGAAGAAATCAAGGAGTTGCGGCGACGCAATGCGGAGCTGGAAGAGGAGTTGAGGACATTCAGCGGATCGGCCGATGAGCAAGTGGCCGAGTTGCGAGACGCAAAGGAGCAAGCTAAGGAGGAGGCTTTGTTGGCGAAAGAAGAAGCGGATCGAGTGAGGGAAGAAGCAATGTCACTCAAGGCTGAACTTGCGGCTGCTCAGGCCGAGGGAGGCTCAAGTGCTGGTGTGGCGGAGGAACTGCGAGCTGCCCAAGTGACGATGCAAGAGGACCTAATGGCGAAAGAAAAGGAGTTGAGGGAGATGATCAAGGAGATCAAATTGGTGGAGGAAAGAGCGGCTAGTGAGCTGGAAGCGGGTATGGAGGCCAAGAGGATGGAGATCAATCGTGTACAGGAGAGAGCCGAAGCGGCAGAGAGAGAAGGAGAGAGTATGAGGGCGTTGATCGAAGAATTGACAACAGCCGGGCAGGTGAGTGAACGAATATCTTTTCATCCGTCGAATTGTATATCTCACTTCCATCTCGGCTGTCTCCTGATCACATGCCCGACTTTCCCCACCGATTCTGGCTCTTAGCTCATGCGCAGGCCGCAATATCTCTATATGAACAAAAAGTATCCGACGCAGAGGAGAAAAACTTCGAGCTCGAAGCACAAATTCGTCAACTAGAAGAACGTCTCCTCAAAGCGAGAGAGGAGCGAGACCGGGCTCTTCTTCCCCCTTCCCCGTCAGCATTAGCCAAACAAGCCGCCACAGCGGCAGAGATTGATAACGAGACGTTGAATGCCCAGGTGAAACATCTCCAGAATCGTCTGCATAATCTGGAGGGAGAACTGGAAGACGCTCGAGTTCAAGCGGAAACAGATGCGGACAACTGGAGAGCTAAACTTGCCAAAGCGAAAGAAGGAGAAAAGGCGGTGTTTGAACAGTTACAGGTACAGAAGGGAGAAGTGACGAGATTGAACAAGGAAGCGGCGGTGACGAAGTCGAGGATGGGAGAATTGGAAGGTGCTTTGAAAGAAAATCAGGTGGCTTTGGAAGTTTTGAGGGCGGAGGTGGAGACTTTACGTGGGGATGCTACGGTATGTGGATTCGTTCTTCTACCCTTTTGTTTCTCTTCCTTCTCTTCATTGGTGTTCTTCCATCTGTGACACCATCCTGCCCCAAGTGACCTTCATCTGTGTATCAGCCACCCCAGCCATAAGAATGATGACCCTCGACATCGCTCAACGAAATCTGCAGCGACGTGAAAGATCTCAGAGGTGTTTGCATGGCAATTTGCTGATCAACAGGAAGCGGCATCCTTGCGCGAAGCCCTACAAGACGCCGCCCAGACCGAAAAACAACTTGTTTCTCGCACTTCTGAGCTTTCTGCTCTTCAAGATAAACTCTCTTCATTGGAAGCAGCCCGAGAGGATGTTCTGACATTGCATCAGCAAACTGTTGCTATTCTGGAAGACAAGATCTCTACCCTCGAGAGGGATCTATCAGCGGTATGCCCCGTCCTCTTGAAGAAGAAATAGGAATTGACGTACAGGCTAAATCGGTGCAGATCAAGGAGAACGGTCTTCCTGTGGATTCTCGAGACGGCACGAGGAAAGGAAGATTATCCAATGGATCAACTGAGGAAAGTAAAAGAATAGTCGGGTTCCAGCATATAATACAGGATTTATCTACGGAGAATGCGGATCTGAAAGATAAACTTCAGAGTTTGGCGGAGGAGGTCGGGATGCTCAAGGAGGTGAGTCGTCTTCCGTTTTGAACTCATTCGTATATGTCGATCCATACAACAAGAGAGATCGTTTTTTCTGAAATAACTGAACAGTGAAAACCACACTCTCAGCGGTGAAAGATGGAAAGGATGGTTCAGGGTCTTATGAGGGATGCTGACGACGTAGGAGATCAAATTACTTGAAGAAACTCAAGAATCACCTCAAGGAGGCAAAGAACTTACAGACACCAAAGCCATTGTCTTAGCTCATGCGCAGACCATCAAAGACGTAAGTTCAACTTCACTCTACCACTCTCATCACACTCTTATGAGCCCTTCATAGTATGAGGTGTACTGACAATCAGCTTCATCGTGAAGTCTCCGAACTTGAATCTCTCATCGAATCAAAGATTTATCGAGAAGATGAACTTGAAACCCGACTCATCGAACTCGAACGAGAAGCTGAGCAATGGCGTCACAAAGCTCCTCAAACACCTCCTGTTCCCACTCCACATCATCCCACATCACCTATAATCCACACTTCTCAAGCTGCGGATATTCCCGCTTCAAGCTCGGGCATGTCGTATATGACTCATAGGACCTCTGTATCGGATTTCAGTTCAGAAGGAGGGGAAAGATGTGAATTATGTGAAGGACCACATGAGTTGGATGCTTGTCCTGTATTTCAAGGTAATCTATCAGCGGGAGGGGGAAGTCCGAAGAGGAAAACAAAGTTTTGTGCGGATTGTGAGGTGAGTTAATTCTGTTTCTCTCAATGCAGTTGTCACGATCCTGTTTCTTGGGTGTCGTGTGGCATAGCAATTTCGAAAGTCACAACGTGATCGGCATTTCGTGCGTCGAGCGAATCCTGAGATTCTCGCGCCCTGGGCAGAATATGAATCGAGGTGTCACGGCAAGGGCAGAAGGAAGGGAATGAGAAAGAGGAGAAGGATGATCAAGAATCAAGACTAATGAACAGAGTACGGAACATGACACGGCGGAATGTCCATTATCAGAAGACGTATTTTGATCTTTCACACTTCATTGGGTGCATGCAGATTGTCATTTAACTTTTTTACTAGTGGAAATACCCCCACTCTTAAGCATGGTTTCATTTTTTGTCATGACCGTTTATAAACGTGATCATCGAAGTGGATCTCCCTAGAAACACTAGTCACGACATTCCCCCAATGTACCAGGTTTCAACAAGCGGTGGTGACAACAAGGCGGAACGGACAGTCTTACACTAAACAGTAAACATGACTTATCTTTCCTTATCACTCTGCATCTTTTATCCTGTCTCTGCATCTTTTATTTATCTTGTCTTGTTTGCGAGACATTGTCAAGCGCATGAAGCTCACAACTATATCAACTCAGGTATGTTGGCTCACTCATCCTGTGACGCACATCTTTCAAGTCATTTATTACTTTCTCACTGTCGTCAAGTAAAAAGTAAGTGACCTCTACATCTTGTACATGACTGTTGATACTGTTGAGAGAAAAATTCAGCAGCTGCAATCGGGACAAGGTTCCATCCAATTGTCCAGTTGACAACTGCTTGGATGTTGTAGGTCTGGGAGGTGTGGACAACACAGGATTCCAGCTGCTGATTTTGCGATGACGCCATCTTGACTTGGACCAGGCTCCAGAGAGACTGCACACAGTCAGACTTGCGCATCTCATATCATCCAAGAACTCTGTCAATTGTGAGATTACTGCATTGAACACGTTCGAGGTTTCTGCCCCGTATGTCACCCCATGCATCTGACAAGATTGGTCCAAACATCCGTTTACTTTGTCCTCGATAGCCTGGAGAATGGTTTGAGCTGTGTCAAAGTTTGACCAAAGCTCTTTCCATCGCTCCTGGGTAGTAGTCAGAGCGGAAGGTTGTCCACTGGGAGCTAAGTTATCGGTCTCCAGGTTGGTCACAGGTGTTTTGAGATTGTCAATGGTCAGCATGGTGAAACAGTATCAGGGAGGAAACGGGTGAGCGGAAGGGGGGTTTAGATTGACTAAGATGGTTGCTTTCCTTATGCCCTGAAACCTTGCACAGAATGAGAAAAATGTTTCCATCTCAGACAGAGAAAAGTAAGTCAAAACAATGGTGAGACTTTCTAGGACATTCTACTTGTTTTTGCCTGATTGAGTGGGAATGGTCTTGCGCACGGACTCAACCGTGTTGGAGAAGGTATGTTATGCTTCCTAGTGGCCTGGAGGCATTATGCAACTCCATGAGGTGAAACTGCTATCTGAGAAGCTAGTGGAGATCATGATGGATGCTCCAAGGGATCATAGATTTCCTGTCATCACTCGAAACGTCGCTCATCATCATGCATGGGATTCCTCATCTCACTCATCTAAAAACCTCCTTCGGGCTTTAATTGCTTGACCTGGAAAACGAATCGTAGGAGGGATTTCAAGACTTTTCACCAAGCCTGCAAACGTTTGGGAGACTTCTACAACCTTGACAGGGTTGATTGAGTTAGGAGGAGAAATGCTGTTCATGCTTTTCTCCAAAGTGTCACTCACACTTGCCAAAGCTTGTAATGTTGAGTTGAAGTAAAATGTCCCAAAGGCTGGAGGATATCTCCTCAAAGTATTCTGGAGGTCACCAGCTACATTGGCCCACACAGTCAAAGAAGCTCGCAGTTGCCGGATTGATTCCCGGAAGGCACTTTGAAATTTGTCTCCAAACTTCTCGGGCCAGGGGGGATCATGATCGGACTTGAGGTAAGCATTGTCACGAACTACGTCGTGACACCTCGATTACTCCACCAACAATGACCCTCCTTTGGCCATCAAAACCCCATCACGCCTTAACCTCTTTACTCTACACGTAACTCAGGACTTCTGAGACCAAGTACGGCGAAGTTAGACGGAGTTAGGCTAAGTAGGGACAATGGGAGCAGAAGTACGGCGAAGTTAGACGGAGTTAGGCTAAGTAGGGACAATGGGAGCAGAAGTACGGCGAAGTTAGACGGGGTTAGGCTAAGTAGGGACAATGGGAGCAGAAGTACGGCGAAGTTAGATGGAGTTAGGCTAGGTAGGGACAATGGGAGCAGAAGTGCGGCGATGTTAGGCGGAGTTAGTCGAAGGAGGAAGAGGATGGCCGAGGGCTCGGGGAAGTTGGACGAAGTACGTTGAAGTACGTCAAAGCGCGAGAGGGTTGGATGAACGTCTAGGAGGAGTAGATAATATTAGCTGAGAAGATCGCTGAAGTTCTTCAGCGATCCTTGATTGTTGTCAGTAGTGAAAGACAGATAGAGATAGCTATAAATCAAGATACATCGCCATCAGTAGAACAAAACCCTAGTTAGAGTAACTACGCCGAAGTACGCCGTAGTTACACCCCTGTCGACGTCTGCGCCCTCCTGGTTGGGTGAGACATCGACTCAGAGCGTGAAGTTAGCCGAGGTTCGTCGACCGTCGGTCTATTAAGAAATAGTTGTTCGACGGCCGTGACACTAACCCGATGAACCAACTAACTACTACATACTACCCGGTGCGATAAAAACCTCCGCGAGAAAACCCTGTGGGACAAAACCCGCGCGAGGAAAAGCATTCCGGGCCTATATACTAACAAACCACTAACATTCCACCGCGACCAGGGTACCTCGGCGAGAGAGACGATCATTCCCGTCGAAAACACCTCCTCGAGAAGAACTTCCTGCAATCGCGTGTCTTCGTGCTGGGTGGGAGAGGTGGGAGAGCACGAAGGGACAGATCTAGAACGATGGCTGGGATGATGATGTTCGAGTGTGAGGTAGTTGGAGGTACGACCACGATACCTACACGATGAATATATATCATCCCCCTCAATAAAACTCGAGGCGATTATTCAAGGTAACAAATCTGTTTTCTAGGTAAGAGAGATAGAAAGTTTTGAAAGCAGATGGGAAAAAGAGAGAAGCTCGACGAACTGCTCAGTATTTAGTATAATCAAACCTAAACCCTCGTCGTCAACATGCAGCAAACTTCGCGTTTCATCAACAAAAGGCATCGCAGGGACGATCAAAATTCCCACGCTATAGTGTCTCATCTCAATATAAGCGAGGGTTACTTCGACAAACAACGGTGTTGTTCGGCTGCCATTCAGGAAGCGTGTCTCACCTACAAAAGACACAGGGCTTCTTACGGCAAACCTCGACGAAGTTAGGGGAGTCTCATTGTCGGGTTTTGGAGTGAAAGGAGGCCCAACTACGAAGTGCGGCGCAAAGAGCAGAAGGGTGAAGGATGGTCATGGGGAGGGAGAGAATGGGGGTACTACGCTGCTAAGTTCTCTTGACACGACAGAGGTGTAATCGCTCACGAGGACGTTCGCGGCTAAAGAAGGGGGTGACTGTCACGAACTACGTCGCGACACCTCGATTACTCCACCAACAATGACCCTCCTTTGGCCATCAAAACCCCATCACGCCTTAACCTCTTTACTCTACACGTAACTCAGGACTTCTGACACCAAGTACGGCGAAGTTAGACGGAGTTAGGCTAAGTAGGGACAATGGGAGCAGAAGTGCGGCGATGTTAGGCGGAGTTAGTCTAAGTAGGGACAATGGGAGCAGAAGTACGGCGAAGTTAGACGGAGTTAGGCTAAGTAGGGACAATGGGAGCAGAAGTGCGGCGATGTTAGGCGGAGTTAGTCTAAGTAGGGACAATGGGAGCAGAAGTACGGCGAAGTTAGACGGAGTTAGGCTAAGTAGGGACAATGGGAGCAGAAGTGCGGCGATGTTAGGCGGAGTTAGTCGAAGGAGGAAGAGGATGGCCGAGGGCTCGGGGAAGTTGGACGAAGTGCGTTGAAGTACGTCAAAGCGCGAGAGGGTTGGATGAACGTCTAGGAGGAGTAGATAATATTAGCTGAGAAGATCGCTGAAGTTCTTCAGCGATCCTTGATTGTTGTCAGTAGTGAAAGACAGATAGAGATAGCTATAAATCAAGATACATCGCCATCAGTAGAACAAAACCCTAGTTAGAGTAACTACGCCGAAGTACGCCGTAGTTACACCCCTTTCGACGTCTGCGCCCTCCTGGTTGGGTGAGACATCGACTCAGAGCGTGAAGTTAGCCGAGGTTCGTCGACCGTCGGTCTATTAAGAAATAGTTGTTCGACGGCCGTGACATATTCCTGGGTTTTGTGGTCTCCTCTCGAGGTGTATCGGTTAATCCAGAGTACATTGACGCCATCACATCCTTCCCACGTCCAAAGAATCTACGAGAGTCGAGGGGTTTCATTGGAGTCGTGAGCTATTACAGGCGTTTTGTTCCCAACTTCTCGAAGATTGCTAGACCTATCAATGATTTGACGAGGAAGGAGGTACCGTTTGTGTGGGGAGCAGAACAGGAGTCAGCCTTTAAAGAATTGAAGGCTAGGATGTGTACTGCACCGGTGTTAGCTCACTTTGACCCCACATTGAAGACCATATTACAGACAGATGCCTCGTTCTTCGGCTGGGGTTTCATAATTTCGCAGATTAATACAGCTGGGCAAGAGCACCCAGTCGCTATCGAGTCAGGCGCGTTCAATACGGCCCAACTAAATTACACGGTAGGAGAAAAGGAGTTCCTCGCCGTAGTTGAGGGTTTCAGAAGAAGAAGACACTTACTACTGCAGGTAGAAACCACGGTCCTTACCGACCATTTAAATCTCACTTACTGGATGGAACCGAAGCAACTCAGCCCACGTCAAGGTAGGTGGGTAGAAGAGTTAGCTAACTTCAGATTTAAAATGGTTTATCGACCAGGGACTCAAGCAAGCCTTCCAGACGGGTTGTCTAGACGGGCGGATTATCACTCGGGAAAAGGAAGTACCATGATACAGGAGAGTAACCTTATTCAAGGTCTGCCGAAGTTCGACGAAGTTGACGCCACCACGTCGGAGTTGCGCCACCTCCTTCGAGCCTTGCAAGGGACAAGGGAAATGAAGGAAAAGGATCTTGTTGACCCTATGGATCTAATGCTTGGAGTACAGGAGGACGAAGACGTAGAGGAGGTTAGAGAGGAGTTATTAGGAGTTATCTGCGCTGAGTGTTCTCATCCGACGTGTCACGATGATGTACAGGAACCAGGATCAATCACCGAACTACGCCGTAGTTCGCGATCTCCTCTAATACTTCGTGGGGGGTGGACCCCGAGAGGTTTCCTCACATTCGACGATCGCACTTATGTGCCGAACTACGCCGACGCTCGACTAAAGATCATGAAGATGCGACATGACTCGGCTTTGGCTGGTCACCCAGGTTCGGCGAAGACCCTTGAACTAATCCTAAGGGATTATGTTTGGGTTGGAGTAAGGAAGGATGTAGAAGACTATGTCGCTGGTTGTGCGGTATGTCAGAGAGCTAAGACTAACAGACAGAAGCCTCATGGAGAACTTAAACCCCTACAAGTAGCGACAAAACCTTGGTCAAGTATCTCGATGGATTTCATCGAAGAGCTCCCAAATTCCCATGGATATAACTCTATCTTAGTGGTCGTGGATCGACTGACAAAATGGGCCATGTTTATCCCAACCACGACGAAGTTAACCGCAGCTGGACTATCGGAGCTGATAATGGACTATGTGGTGGCCCAGCATGGGTTACCAGAGAGTATAGTATCAGACAGAGGATCGAAGTTTACTTCGAAGTTTTGGAAGAACTTGACCGATAGTCTCGGGATAAGACTACATCTTTCTACCGCGTATCATCCACAGACTGATGGACAGACCGAACGAACGAACCAGTCCCTGGAATTATACCTTCGAATCTTCACTTCCTACCAGCAGAACGACTGGTCGAAGCTACTTGCCCGAGCTAGCTTTGCTTATAACAACACCCATCATTCCGCGATAAACAAGACCCCATTCTATGCGAACTATGGGTACCACCCTCAGTGGGCTGAAGAGATTAAGGCCAGTGAGGTCGAGGTACCTGCTGCTATAGTGGTGGTAAAAGACCTAACCGAAATACATAAAGAATGTATTG